AGTAGGGGAAGGAGCCTTCGGAGCTAGCGCCTCCGTAGCCTGGGAAGATTGTGCCCTAGCAGTACCACGCGCAGCCTCCGCCTTCTGCAACTCCTGCAAAACAATACAAAGTTATAAAAACAACAAACAAGCGATAGAAAACTTAAGTGAAAAACAATAAGCTACGAAGAAAAACCAACCCTAGCTCGGTTGCCTCCGCCAACGAGTGAGCCTTCACCCGGCCAAACTTTACCCAGAATGACTTCATGAAGTGACGAACGGATCTTCTCACGGCATGGGGAGTCACTCCGAGCTCGGCTAGGCCCTCAAGGTCTTTTTCCTTCATGCCTTCAACATACGGGAAGTCGTCCTACATCAGCATCTTGGAATGGTTGGTGGCGGAGGCCAGGGCCCCAAAATCGACAGCGCCGCCTACAAAGTCAGGGACCTTCAGGAAGTTGGCATTCATCCAAGAAAAGATGTTGAACGCTAAAGGCTCGGAGGGCAGCGAAGACACAGAGCCCCAAAACATTTGAGGACAACCACATAGAGCTCAGCTATGGCCAATCCAATAGATTTGGCGTCCTCAAGGTGCTTAGTTAGCATGTCCACTTGCGCCTTCAAGGCAGCATTGGACTCCCTCTCGGCATCCACCTCCTTGCAAAGGTTATCGGCCGTCTCAACGGCTTTTAGGGCACGCTCAGCAGCCTTCACGCCATCCACCTCTTTGCTCAGCAAATCAACCTTCTTCTGTAGCTCCTCCAACTCAGCATGGGCAATGCGGAGGTCACCAACCTCCCCGCAAGCTGAGTCTTCTCTGCCTCAAGAGTATACACCTCGTTCTTTAGGGCCTCGATGGACATGTTGCGGTCAACCACCTCCTGCGTATCACGCTCCTCGATGGCCTCCGAAAGATAATGGCTCTGTCAAGTCGAAGGTCAGCCACAGCACAATAGAGCAACGGTAGAGAAAATGAAAAAGAAACATACCATGCATTGCAGCTCCAAGTTCATCTATAGCAACTTGAAGTAATCAACATTCTTCAAGTGGTGGCGGAGGCGGCCTAATAGCAAATCAAGCGTAAGAAATGTAAGACCAAAAGCATAAAACAAAAAATATAGAAAAGACAACCTCCTATATCATTGTAAATAGCTTCAAAAGCATCCACACACCCACTTATTGTGCTGTCGGAGGCACCTGAAACAACAACCAAACATCAGCAAAACTCAAATAAAATGAAGACAGCATAGAAATAGAAAACAAGAAGCAAAAGCAACCTTTGCCGCCAGCCAGGCCTGGGCCAGATGGGCGAGGAGTCGCACCCACAAGTGGAGGAATCGGAAGCGCTCCCAGGTCAATTCGAGCGAGGTACACACCCAAAGGATCGTTAGGGCTCTCATCAGGGTTCTCGAGAGCCTTCGTTAAACTCGTTGAAGCAATCAAAATAGGTCAAAACCCGATAAAATTCAACAGACAAAAAACCATGCAAAGTAAAGACAAAGGGCAACTCACCCAGATGCAAAGGGCTCGGAATAGCATCTGAGGCACCGGCATCCTCGGTGTGATGACTTGTGGCCTAAAACGCCATGCTCTAGAACAGAGCAGCTAGAGAACTCGCCCCCACCCCATCCTCAGACACCTCTACAAGAGCAGTTGTAGGACGGCGATGGTCAGTGCTAGCGGCCTCCCCTTCTCTCAATGGGGAAGCATCGCCACTATCAGTACCTTCACCCTCGGAGCCAGAAGAGTCATCATCCAAGACGTCGGGCATAGGAGCCACGACAGAGGGTTCAGCAGTAGGGCCACCGCCCATTCCTTGAAGGGCGGTGTCAACAAAAGTATCACCGCCAAGATCGGTGGATGTGGCGGAATGCTCGCCATCCATCCCAGCATCCACAGAAGCCGAGCCTCGGCCAACATTCTCCGCAACCTCCTCATCGGCCTCAGTAGAGGCAGCAGCGGAGGCGGCAGCAGAAGTGGCCATGATCTTCTGATTTTTACTAACAACCTTAGATGCGCCAGTACCCTTTCTCTTCTTAGCCTCAACTGCAGCAGTCACGTTCATGGTAGCAGCCTTCCTAGTCTTATCTTCCAGCGACTTATGTACCTTCGTAGGCACATCATGCTCCTCATAATGAATCCCAAATTCCTCAAAAACACGATTGAGACGGGGCATTGTGCCGACGATGGCCCTGCGTGCTAGATACTCCTTATTAGACATCTCACCGAGTATCTCTCGAGCCCCCGCCTCTGCAGACTTCACAACCTTCTTAGCAGCATGACCTTTCTTAGGCTGAAAGCCAAACCGAGGGAAGAGAACCCCAACTCCTTCGCCAAAGACAGGAAGGTTGACCATCTCAATAGTCATGGTGGGTCTATTCCTGCCAAGCGGCTAGCAGTTAGCTACCTCCATTTCCTCCACTAGATCCCGGCCTTGAGTACCGACAGCCAAGGCAAAAGCCTTATCATAGGCTTCACGCCCCTCAGAAGTCCTCGGACCAAGAGTTCCTTGAGTCGAAGGCTTCATCGGGGTCATCACGGATGCCAAGGGTAACGAGTGTGTTTTTTTCCTACGCTATCCATAGAGGTCATGCCGCTGGTCCTGACATAGAACCAATACTGCATCCAATCTTTATTCCACTTGTTCTTCTAAGCAAAAGAAATTTCCAACTTCTCCCCTTTCTAATTCCTCTTAGGCATAAAAGCGCAGCTCCCATACTAAGCTATCAACTGGCCTTCACCAACCCGTTTAGGCTGGCGCTAGCGCTCGTAGTACTCGCAGAAAGTACCAATGTTGGGCTCCACACCATAAGAGAAGCAAGCCCAGCAGAACTTACTCAAAGTAACAATACCGTTGGGAGTGAGATGATGCAGCCTTACCTCGAACACTTCCAGGACTTGACGAAGGAAGCGCGCTGCTGGGAAGTGAAGGCCACAAAGGAAAAAGTCCTTGAAGACCACGGCATCAGCAGCTTGTGGTTTAGGAATCGTCTCCCATTGCAGAGGCTTCACCTTAGCCTCACCAAAGCAGCCCAATTTCCGTAACTCCTCGATCATGTCCTTTGTCATGACCGAAGGCCCAAAATCCCACGTCCTAGATGGGCCAGCCATGTCTCCTGCCTCCTTAGCGGTTATCAAATCAGCGACAGAGGCCTCAACTCCAGAAAGATCTTTCTTAAGCCCCAACGCCTCCGCACTGGCAATCATACACTCCTCAAAGCGCGTAGACCACCCACTTGCTCTAACGCCGAGAAGACGGCGATATGGATCGAAGAAAGTAGCCCGACGGGGAGGAGGACTAATAGGCGAAGCCACTTCCAAGATTTATCAACAGCAATAGGAAGCGAAGGCAAAGCGACAACTAAGCGAAGGTTAAGCAAAGAAGAAAGAACTTAGAAAGCGACTGTAGCGAAAGCGATGGCTTATATGGAGATGGGGAAGCCTTCACCTACTGCCCCTTTATATAGCCCCCGCCTCGTTGTTTCAACTTCCAGGGCCAATGGTCGCATCCGTTTGAAAACGCGTCGGTTCCAGAGCCGCCAGGGCGAATCAGGTAGTGACACGTCACCAACGCAACGATCCGATCCAGGCAATCCAGGAGGAAAGGGGGGAAGCCTCCACATACGCCAGAGCCTCCGCGCCTCAGAACCTAAGAACCAGATTTTGAGGACAAGGCCCGCCAGCATCAGACCATGCCCTCAAGGGGGGAACTGTTGGGACACGATTGTGAGTCGCGGAGGCCAAGGTTCGCAATAGCAATAAGAACTAACGGTTAACGAATTTTATGAGCAACATGCAGGGAAAGAAGATGGAAGCCTCTGCCCGGTCGGCCGCTCTGGGCGAAGGCCCGGAGACGGCGGCGAAGGCACCCGAACGCGGTCAAAGACGAAGGCTCTTGAGGCATAAGTGGAGGCCACGGTCCAGGCGACGACGCGAAGGTCCTGGCGAAGGCACCCTAGGCGGAGGCTCCGGGGACCAAAGGAGCACCCGCGGGGTGGTGGTGCTGGGTCGTGGGCCGCTTACGGGCTCGCAGCAACGGCCCAACAAGCAGAGGCGGTTGAAGAAGAAGAAGATACCCAAACTGCCCGGGCAACTTGTATTAGCATAGGAATATTCCGGTAATGTATTACAGTTGTCAGAGGGTAAAGTTGTAATATGGAGCGATAGAAACAGTGCCCTATAAAGGGGGAGCCAAATCCTATAAAGAGGAGGTTGGTGAGAGCATTTATGAAACCCTAACTGAGCCTCGGCCCACCTTCCACTCTTCTTACCTTCGCCCAGAGCACTCGACCGGGCGAAGATTTCATTGGGTTCCGTCTGCTGAAAACCCCCAGTTTTCCAACACGTTTCATCAGTCGGGTGCTGCCTCTCGCAGCTTTGGCGCCTGCCTCATGCCCCTTTTGCTCGCCTTGCCCCTGACAAACTAGGGCGCCTCATCCGGCCTCCAGTAGCCCGCGCGCGACCAGCGGCAGCCCGGAGCAGTGCGTACCGCCAGGAAGCTCCGCTCCGATGCCTGCTACAAGTCGCATCCGGATCTGGCGCTCCGCGCGAGCATTTCTTTCCTGAGATAAATATTTATACTGTTGCTTTGTTAAACAATGTTGACATCAGCTGTAGGACAACACTACTATTGAACATCAGCTGCTGCTCAGGGAGAGAAAAAACAAAAATAACTTACAAATTCGGTCGAGAGCGCAAGTGTATGACAACACTACTAGTCCACCACCACCCGATTTCTTCTCCTTCTCGGATTTCAGGCACCAATGCAACCTGCTTAACGAAAACATGTTTTCTCTGCTCCTGCATTTTGACAATATACAAGTGCTTTCAGTGTCAGAATAGCAGATCACTCATCATCAAGAGAGCAAGGAAATAGTTACTATCAAATTGGCATGTAGGTATATAATACCATTGACGTTTACACATTTCATACCTACCATAACCAAAAGCCACGTTGTTGGGTCGAATGGAGTCTGAACCTTCCTATACCTTTTGCATTTTTTTTGTGTTGTTCCTCGCCTCTATTCTTCTTCACTCAACTCATTCTCTTCTTCTTCGTCTGAATCTTGTGAGCAAGTAAAGGAAAATTGAAGATAAACAAGTTTAGATTTGGTAAACAAAATCATTTCATGTTGCCTACTAGTTTAAATTAAAATTATAAAACGATTGAGTAAGTAGAAGATGATCAAAACCGAACCTGTGGACTTGCCCAAGTCGACGTCGAAGGAATACGGCTCCTTGGTGTAGTAGATGTGTCGGTCGACCTTATCTTCTGATGATGTCTTTCCATATGCCTTTAGTTGCTGAACGTGCTTGATCTTACCCCACTCGGAGGACTCATCTTGTAATGCTATCAGTTTGAACAAGCTTGGGCTGCAGTCGACGTGCAACTTATTTAGCTTCGTCTCTCTTAAGTATTGTGGGAGTGCTTCAGCACCCAAATCCCACCACCCGAGGCTTTGGAGGGATGGCAAACCATTCAATTCCTTTAGTGCAGGGCAACTGCTAATGTCAATCCATTGCAAGCTTGGGTTGTTGCTGATCCTCTCTATTATTGGGTTGTTGTATGGCCAAAGTTTGACTACTGAAGGTAAGTTCTCTATAGAGACCAAGTGTGTGATATTTATTAGCCTCAATTCTCTCAATTGGCGTGCATGATGAGCAAGTCCTGTGGGAAGACATTGCAGTTTACAGTCGTGAACACGAAGCATCTCTAGAACAGGCATCGCTGGGATATGCTGCTCCCACTCCCACTCTGTCAATCCCAAAATGCCCTCGAAGCCCAGGGTTACCAGCTTGGGAAATGCCACACCAGCACCACCTGGAATATGATGTGCCTGCCTTCTTTTGTTCTGTGATCCTGTCATCCCCGATGTCCCATCCTTGCCAACATAATCATCACTCAAGGAGGGGAGGAGGAATTCATGCCCAATACACTGGACGGACGGAGCACGCTTGATCCAAAAGCAATCTAGAAAGGGGAGCTGCCCCAATCCATTAGGCAGTTGCGTGCAGCATGCGTAGTCCTCTAGCACCATCCGCCTTAGACTCCCAAAGGCTGACATTGTTCTCATCCATTGTGGTAGCTCACGTGCAAAGTAGCCTTTGATTTCAAGTTTTTCTATGCAAGTTGGAGGGCAGAGATTAGCAAGCACATTTTCTCCTGTGCTCCTCTGCGCTGATGTCGTCTTTGACCTTCCCATTTTCTTCGAGCCTACTGGTAAATATCAAATCTAATCTTTCCAAATGATGTTTGTTGCCAAGTATTGCTTTAGCAGCCATAGAACCAGAAGGTGCCTTCTTGAGATTCCTTATATTAAGTAGTTTGAGCTTCGATAGAGGCCCTAGTTCTTCTAAGTTGCACCAGCCATCTGTGCAAAGCACAATCTCTTCTTGGCCAACACAGCGAGTTTCAACACACTCTCAGAATCGATCAGACCACTGAGCAAACCAAACATCCTGCTCAAAAAATCAGCGTACCGATGCGTTCTGAAGAGCGGAGAGATCTCCCGTGCTCCATGCAATCTGTTATGCTACTTTCTAGTACAAATTAGTAACAGGTCGGGCCGGGGATCACATCACAACATGAAGCGCTGCAAAATAAGACAACAAAGAGGTGGTAAAAATGGTAAAATCCAACCACGAAACGTGTGGCTTCTTCAGTCTTGAACACCAATGGACAAGTGTCAGCATCTCCGTCAGCCCGCAACTTCCGGTTCCGGGCTTCCGGCTTCGTTGTGATGCGCGAAAGTACGGTCGGTGTCCTCTGTGCGGCCGCTGCCTCGCTCGGCGCCCGTTTCATCAGGGGGAGTCGGGTGCCGCCTCTCTCGCAGCTTTGGCGCCTGCCTCGTGCCCCTTTTGCTCGCCTTGCCCCTGACGAACTGGGGCGCCTCATCCGGCCTCCAGTAGCCCGCGCGTGACTAGCGGCAGCCCGGAGCAGCGCGCGCCGCCAGAAGCTCCGCTCCGGTGCCTGCCACAAGTCGCATCCGGATCCGCCGCTCCGCGCGAGCATTCCTTTCCTGAGATAAATATTTGTACTGTTGCTTTGTTAAACAATGTTGACATCAGCTGTATGGCAACACTACTATTGAACATTAGCTGCTGATCACGGAGAGCAAAAACAAAAAATAACTTAAAATTTGTATGACAACACTACTTGTCCACCACCACCCGACTTCTTCCCCTTCTCGGATTTCAGACCCCAATGCAACCTGCTTAACGGAAGCAGGTCTTCTCTGCTCCTGCATTTTAACAATATATACACAAGTGCCTCTAATGTTATGGTAGCAGATCACTCGTCATCAAGAGAACAAGGAAATAGTCACTATCAAATTGGCATGTAGTAGATATATAAAACCAGTGACGTTTAGATATTTCATACCTGCCATAACAAGAAGCGACGTTGTTGGATGGAATGGAGTGCTCTGCAGTAGCAGTCTGAAGCTTCCTCTACCCTTTGCATTATTTCTGTGTCATTCCTCACTTCTATTCTTCCCCCGCCATATTTTCTTCCTCTTCATCTCAATCCTGTGAGCAAGTGAATGGGCAAAATGAAGACAACCAGGTTTAGATTTGGTAAACAAAAGTCATTTCATGTTGCTTACCAATTTAAAATTAAATTATTAAACGACTGAGTAAGTAGAAGATGATCGAAACCGCACCTGTGGACTTGCCCAAGTCGACTTCGAAGATATATGGCTTCTTGGTGTAGTAGATGTGTCGGTCAACCTTATCATTTGTTGATGTCTTTCCATATACCTTTAGTTGCTGGACGTGCTTGATCTTTCCCCACTCAGAGGAGTCATCTTGTAATGCTATCAATTTGAGCAAGCTTGGGCTGCAGTCCACACGCAACTTATTTAGCTTTATCTCTCGCAAGTATTGTGGGAGTGCTTCAGCACCCAAATCCCACCACTCAAGACTTTGGAGAGATGGCAAACTGTTCAATTCCTTTAGTGTTGGGCATTTGCTAATGTCAATCCATTGCAAGCTTGGATTGTTGTTGATCCTCTTTATTCTTCGGTTGTTGTATGACCAAAGCTTGACTAGAGAAGGGAAGTTCTCTACGGAAACCATGTGTAGTATTGCCCTGCTGGTTTGGGCTTGTTTGGCTGATAAGACATGGCTGAAAGTACTGTTGGCTGATTTGGTGTGAGAGAAAAGTATTATTCGTTGGCTCAAAAAATACGGCTTATAAGTCAAACAAGCCCAAACGAACAGGTATATATTTCTCAGGTCCAACTCTCTCAATCGGCATGCATGGTGAGCAAGTCCTGTAGGAAGACATCGCAGTTTACAGTGGTCAATCAGGAGCGCCTCTAAAGCAGGCACCGCTGGAACATGCTGCTCCCACTCCCACTCTGTCCATCCCAACATGCCAATAAAACCAAGTTTTCTGAGCTTAGGAAATGCAGGACCGATACCATGCGAAATATGATGTGGCTGCCTCCTTTTCTTCTGTTCTCTCGTCAGCTCTGATGTCTCGTCCTTGCCATCGCCGTCATCACCCAAGGAGGAGGAGGAGGAGTCCATGCCCAATACATTGGATGGACGGAGCACGGTGGATCCAAAAGTAATCTAAAAAGGGGAGCTGCCCCAATCCATTAGCTACTTGCGTGCAGCATGTGTAGTCCTCTAGCACCAACCGCCTTAAATTCCCAAAGGCTGCCATTGTTCTCATCCACTGCGGTAGCCCACGTGCAAAGTAGCCTTTGATATCAAGTTCTTCTATGCAAGTTAGAGGGCAGAGATTAACCAGCACCTCCCTGTTCCCTCATGCTCCTCCTCGCTGGTGTCGTGTTTAACCTTCCCATTTTTTTTTGAGCCTGCTGGTAAATATCAATTCTAAGTCTACCAAGTGATGTTTATTGCTAAGCATTGCTTTAGCGGCCATAGAACCAGAAGGTGCCTTCTCCAGACCTCTTATCTCAAGAATTTTGAGCTTCAATAGAGGCCCTAGTTCTTCTAAGCTGCACCAGCCATCTGTGCTTTCATTTGAATGTGTTGGAAAACTCACCATGATGACTAAATCTTCCAGCTTTTGGAATCCACGAGGAATTGAAGTGATGCCCGTGCTGCTTAGGAACCTTAGCTTTTGTAGCTTCGTAATGCTATTAGGAAGCTGAGAAACATTTGTACACCCTACAAGGTTAAGTGCTTGAAGAAATTTTAGGTCTCCAATGTCTCGAGGGATTGTGGATATCCTTGTGCCGGAAAGACGCAAGTGCCTTAAATGTTTGAGGTGGCATATAGAGTCTGGCAATGCAACTAGATCTACATTATACAGATATAGTACTCTTAGGCAAGAAAGGTCGTTCAATAAATGTTCTAAGTGAAGCTTGTTTTTGCAAAGTGTCTATTATCGTTACTGTCTTGTTTGAGATACATAGGTGACGAAGCTTTGGAGTGCTATCAAGAGTTTTAGTGGCATCCTCTCTCTCACTAATAAGTACTCCTTCGTCTTTTATTATATACTGAGCACAGGAACGAATGACATCATGCATGATGCATGCTGTTTGACCATAGGCTGTTTTGTTTGGTTCTAGAAGATCTCTTGAAAGTAATTCGTTGTAGTATTCTTCCCCCAGATCTTCTAGTGCTTTTGAGCTCATTTTGTTATGTATGTAACCAAGTGCGATCCAAAGTTGGACTATAGTTCCCATTCTTATCAATTTATCTTCAGGGAAAAGTGAACAATACACAAAGCACTGCTTCAAGTGTGAAGGCAAGTCTTCATAACTCAAATAGACTGCTCTGTTAATATCTCCGTCTATTCCTTCTGCCGACCAGGAGTAGTAGTTACAAATATCCATCCAAGCGTCTCTTGTTCTGCTTTTGCGGCGCACAAGACTCCTCCAAGGACCTTAACTGCTAACGGCAAGCAATCATAACTTTTCACAATTTTTATCCCTATGCCCTTTAATCCATCCACATCGGCTTCATCACTTTCATTTACAACTACCTATTAGGAGGAAGAAATTCAGCACATGTGAGAGAGAGAAAGTAGGTTCCAGAACCGAAATGTTGTCGTGTACTTGTGAGCTAGCTATATGTTCTATTAACTAGAGCAGAGGTTGTAGTGAGGAAAAAAGATAAAATGGGTACATAAGAGCAACCAAATAAAACTTCCTTTGTCAAGTGGATGCTCTATTAAAATAAGCCCATGAGATACGTTATGGTAAATTTAACTGCCAACCCAGATACCGGGTGCCGTGTTGTTGCTAATTTGCTTTTTCTAGTGGCCTTTGCCAATTATAGGGTGTTTGGATTTGGGATTTGAGAATCTACTTCATCGTCAGCTTGATGCAAAGCAATGGAAGAGATGGGCAAGAGCGCGATGCGTATGTGTGCAAGATTTATTGATTAGGAAACGTTGAAACATTTTAGGAGAGACATCCGCGTGCTATTGGGCCCAGGCGCGGTGGCCTGTGGACTGTGGTGCTAGCGGCAGTATTTTACATTGATGGAGGATAGGAGAGAGAAATCAGAAGAATGGATTTCCATGCGCGTGCTGCAGTACAGAACCGGTAAAGGACCGAGACAAGAGGAAATACTGAAAAGGAGGCTCATATGTTCATACTAGTTTTTAAGTCGGCTACTCAAAGCCCACTTAATCACATGGTTCCTCTGAAAACTATAGATAACATTGTTTGTTCTCTCTAATTTAATTATACGGCACAAAAACCCCTACATTTGACTTAAATAATGCGCATAGTACTGGGAGCTTTGTTCATAGCACTCGTGATGTTCTCAAGGAAGGACCAAAACATCCCCTCTTCTTAGACAACTTGACGTATTTTACGTAGTAGGGTTCCATTATATGCCTTTTTTGCCGCTGTTTTCTAAGACTTTTGGATATTTTGCTCACAATAAATATACAAAAAATAAAGTCAAATATTTGTAACAAGATAAAATATAACATATATTTACCAGCTAGTATTATACGTGGCATTATTAAATTATACTTCCTTAGATCACAAACATAACTAGGATTTTACCAAGTCAAAATTTTAAAATTTTGACTAATAATATCTATAAATATGTTATCTTAAATAAAAATAATATCCTTCGTAATGAATACACTACCAGAAGTAGTAGGTATGCCGAGTGTCTAGTGATTTGCCGAGTGCATTTCTTCGAGCACTCGGCAAACACTATCTTTACCGAGTGCCTACATGTAAAAACTCAGCAAAACAAATGCACTTGGTAAAAAAACTTATTTGCCGAGTGCAGGAAATAAAACACTCGGCAAACAACAATAAGACACTCGGCAAAGAATAGACACTCGGCAAAAGACCACCACGTGTGACGGCAGTCAACCAGGGTGCCGGCCGTTAGTACTTTGTCGAGTGTCAATCAGTGACACTCGGCAAGCTTATCTGGCACTCGACAAATAGGTTCGTTTGCCGAGTGTTTTATTTTGGCACTCGGCAAATTAAAAAGTTTTTTCCTCCCCTGACCTTGAAACTTTTTCTACACTCCACATACAACATGTGGTACTCCATGTTTAGATTTGGTATATTTCTGGATCCGTTTGCTATATTTAATTAATTTATTGCTTTTAAAGTAATTTTTTTGGTATAAGTCAAATTTGAACTGCAAGTGATTCAAATAATATAATAAAATGAGTAGAAAAATGATATTCATGTTATTGAATCCCATGTGAGGCCTTATCTGAGAAACAAAAGAAAATTTTGAACATCTTGTTCACAAAACCCGACCACGAACGTGTGGCAGAATGGTTTTTAAATTCTTAAAAAAGCAAACGAAGTCTGAAAATTATGAGAATTGTCAAGATCTTATGATATCATACGTGGAGGCCGTGGTAAAAAAATTGAGAAGGTTTCACACAATCTGTCACGTACGATGTTTACAAACCGAAGTATCTCAGAAGAAGAATCCTAGCGTTGAGAAGGATTCGATAAGATTTAAAGTCAAAGTGACGGTTGAATTGGGGTTTGACTTCAAAACTTTTTGTATAGGCAATAAAGAACATAGATTGATTCATGTGTAATTTTGATAAATTTTTGGAATAATTTTAATTTGTTAAGTATAATTATAGAATTTAATTGATATACATTGAATTTGAGCTACAACTGCATGAAATAATAAGTTTTTTTCCTCCCCTGACCTTGAAATTTTGTCTACACTCCACATACAACATGTGGTACTCCATGTTAAGATTTGGTATATTTCTGGATCCGTTTGCTATATTTAATTAATTTATTTTCTTTAAAGTAATTTTTTGGTATAAGTCAAATTTGAACTACAAGTGATTCAAATAATATAATAAAATGAGTAGAAAAATGATATTCATGTTATTGAATCCCGTGTGAGGCCTTATCCGGGAAATGTAAGGAAATTTTGAACATCTTGTTCACGAAACCCGACCACGAATTGATATACATTGAATTTGAGCTACAACTGCATGAAATAATAAGTTTGCTAACTTTATCGAGTGTCCCTGAGATGGCACTCGGCAAAGATGGGGTTTGCCGAGTGTCAGATCTGGGACACTCGGCAAACAACTTCACGGGCCCCACACACGCGCAGTATAGTTTAGGATTTGAAAATGGGGAAAAAATAAAACGTGTTTGCCAAGTACCCGTGATTTAGCACTCGGCAAACCTGTAATTTGCCGAGTGTCATAACTGAAACACTCGGCAAACAGCTTTACAAACCCTACACGCGCAATAGTTTAGGTTTTTAAAAATGAAAAAAAACAAAACGGGGGTTTGTCGAGTGCTAGATCGCGAGCACTCGGCAAACCTCCCTTGTAACCACCCCCGCACCTGGCCGCACACACACGCTCACTCTCAAACACACAACCGCGCCCAAACCAGACCACGCCGCCGGCCCCGCGCCCGAGACCGCCCACACCAGCCCCCAGCGCTCGACCTCCCGCCCCCCGGTGCCCACCACCGTAGTTTCGTCGCCCCGAGAGCCCGCCGCCGCCGTTTCGCCGCCCCAGGAGCCCACTGCCGCTTCCCCTGTTCCGGTCACCGTGGAGGAGCAGCTGCTGTTGCTGATTGAAGAAGGTGTCGCTGATCTGAGGAGCTTCTTTTTCCCAATGCCGCGGCGCCGAACCAAGAGGTCCAAGAGAAGGACGAGGAGCCCCTCTTGCTCGCCACCGCACCGCCCTCTCCGACCTCATCGCCGCCGTGTAAGCTTGCGCCCGCCCGCCCGCTCCTCCCCCCCCCCCCCACCTACATTCTTCTGCTATGCATGCCCGGCCTTGAGCCATGACACCTTTTCTACACAAAGACGAACCCAAGCGCGGCGCCACGAGCTCGCGCTCGCCACAGCGCTGCTTTGCTGCTTTCTCCGCACTATCACGGCCTCTCTGCTGGCCACTTGCACGCCCGCGAGCACAGATGGCCTTGAGATTTAGGGTTCTACTCGATTCTTAGGTTGGAAACCCTGTTAGTGCTGATTGGTGATTATAGTTTATCTGTGAATTTCTAGTACGTATTGCTTGTGAGGAAATTGGGATGAAATGATTTAGTCGAGGCACTGGATACTTGTATAGATGATTATGGTTTATCTGCCAATTTGTACTGTTGCTTGTCAGGAAATTAGGATAAATGCTTTAGTCGAGGCACTGGATACGTGTATTGTTTGTTGCAGTCGCTCGTAGATGCATGGGCGTGGGGCAATAATTAAAGTCCTTCAGATATTTTGTTATTCGATTAACTGCATATGCATTTGAGCAAGTTTCAGTAAGAACAGCTAGCAGCAATTAATCTAGGATTCTCTGGTACAGCATAATTGCTATCAGCTTAGTGATGCTGATTGATGTTTATGGCTTGTTTGTGAATCTCTAATAGTGTTGCATGTGAGATACTTTATAAATTATGAAGGTGGGATAAACTGGGATTGGAATGATTTAGTGGAAGACACTTCTGTGATATTATTATTCGTATTACATATGCTTTTGATGACATAACTGCTGTGATGATTGCAGCATAAATTATGTTTGATATTTCATGCAATTATCATGGTCTACCTTTCCACATTACATCTCTTTCTTTCTTTTTTGATGATTGAGGCAATGCTAACAACTGAACCAACCATCATGTCCAAAGTTGACACTACCTTTGTACCTGTTCAATGATAGTTAAAGCAATGCTCAATGGTTGCATTTGTTTTCGTGCATTTCTTCCTACCTCTTCTGCTTTGTGTAGTTTTCAGGCACCAAAGACAGGTACTGTTTATTGCATGTGATGATTTCTTCCTTTGTCTAATTTGATCGTTGGCAAGTTCAAGATGTAAGAATTAATTTTGCACTTTCACCCTATTTGGTGGGGATGATCCATCATAAACTATTTATGTGGTTGTCGGCCATCGTGTCGTTGGTTTGTTGCAGGTTGTGGTTACCTCACCATGCAGGGGAGGTGCTGCCGAAATTTATAATTGACACTATTATGTTCCTTTGTTGTAGGAGAGGCCATTGCAAAGATCGTTCTCCACCGTCCTCGACTCGTCACTTTACCCTACAGCAAGGTGAGGCATCCTACACCCCTCTTCCATATGATGTGAAATATAGGATGTTTGTATATCACGTAACCTAGCTAGGCGTCTCCTGTTCGAAAGAGATACGGTTGTAAATATGCAGATCTTTGCATATCTATAACCGTATTTGTTTCGAATTGTCCACGTTTTTTGGACAGCCCGAGGATGTGTAGATGGGGTTAGTTTTCATGCTCTACTCTGATCCGAGACAGAGTTTCGGTAGCATCTCCCTATTGTTCTCCGGATACACAATCTCCATGCCAGGACGTGTATTTGGAGAACAGCGGGGAGGTGCTGCCGAAATTCTGTCTCGGATAGGAGTAGAGCATGGAAACTAACCCCATCTACACATCCTCGGATGGGATTAGGACCTATCTTCACCTATTAGACAGTATAGGAACTTGTAGATGCAATTGATTTTTATATTACTTGCTGATATGTTAGAGGATGGATGACCATGAATGGATGTACACGGGCCGCTCTAGTCAGGGTTCGTTCACCGATGAATGAATTGAGAAGACCGATGCTTTCTTGGAACTAGCATTTGCAAGGGTTAAAGGAGTGCATGGCACTTAGCTCTCGGCAAAATCTTTGCCGAGTGCCCGATAGAAAACACTCGGCAAAGAGCCGTTTGCCGGCACTGTAGATGCCGTGTGCTGTATGCCGAGTGTTTTTTGGGCTTTGCCGAGTGCCTGTGGCACACGGCAAAGCGACCGTTTCCGGTAGTGATATAAGCATGCGTATGTTGTGTCTAGTTAGTCTATGCAAAGTTTTAGATATTAATGGTGAAAGTTAAGAAATCTTTATTAAGGTCAAATCTAGATGGAGTTCTATTTGTACTTGAGGACATATATCACAAGTATTTGTTTTCTTTATTACACTATTACTAATGCGCAAATAAATAATGTGATTAAAAAAATTACTAACCTGATTTTTGAGTAAAATCCAAGCATCTTCTGTTTGCAGCTTGTCAACTTGATGGAGTTGTTGGGAATTCATTCCACGACCAACTCCATCGTTTCTTGTGGTCACCAACACACGACTGCCAGGAGCACCATAACTGAGTGGCACTCTAAGCAAGTCGTTTCACACCTTCTCGCTCCACACATCATCCATCACCAACAGAAACTCCTCCTTTTGCTGGACCGTGTCCTTCAAAGCACGCTCAAGCAGGTCCTTGTTTCCCGCAAAGCTTTCATGGTTGGTGCCAAAAGAAGCTAGAACACTTCGTAGGGCATTGATGTCATTGACCTCCTTGTTAACGCTCAACCATATCCTTTGATCGAAGCTCTCCTCCATCTTGCTATCATTGAAAACCATCCTAGCAAGGGTGGTTTTTCCTATCCCACCCATGCCAGTGATAGCAACAGCAACAACAACGTTGTTGCCCTTGGATTCAGCCGGACTACCTACCTTCTTTGTTAGTAGATCAACGATTTTCTTTGTATCCTCCATGATCTTGTCACCAACAACATCGGACTGGAGAATAAGCGATCCAGTCTTATCAGACAAAGAATTCGGAGCTTTATTGATGGAATAACCTTAGGAGTTGATTTCTTGCGTGATGAATCCGAAGCGGGAGCTCCTCTTCTCAAGGTCCTCCAGTCGCTGGTTGAGGGCTTGGATCTTCCTTCCAATTTCATGCGCGACAACAGGGTTGCGGAAGCAATAGAACGTCTTGGAGATGTTCCAGCATCCTGAAGTGCTTTTCGGAGCGGAAACTGATGACGAGGGATCTTCTCCACACTCCATGATCTGGCAGAGATCAAGGATGTCATCGGCGTCGTACATGACATCCTTGAGCTCCCTCACCCACCGCTCCACAGCAGAGTCGCGGATGCGGCTCCTCTCGGCGTCAGCCAGGATGCTGCTCAGGTCACCGAGCGTCGCCTCGAGCTTGGTGATCTCGCCCGGCACGCCTAGGAGCATCTCCACCTCGTCCTTGGCCATGCCCGTCAGGATGTCCACCAGCTTGGACGCAAACGCGTCCAGCACCGCCGCCATCAGCAAGGAATTGGGTGGCTAAAGTAAACGAACAGGAAGCGGTTCCAAAATGTGTGTGCGCTTCTGCTCCATGCTGCTCGTGGGATGCTTGTGTGGGTATATATAGGAGAGAGCTGTTGGCTTGGTGAAAAATTGCAAATATATTCGACCAACGCGTGTCACAGTTTTATTAGTAACTTGAATTAGTGGAAGCAGGAAGAATAATTCCGCCATAGCCGCTTGCCAGGAATATCTTGTCAGTGGAAGTCGGAACGCGTTAGCTGGTCTGGTTGCCCCCTCCTCCTACAAAAACACTGTTCATCAATCAGCCGCTAGTGAGTATTTTTTTCTCACAACAACCAGTCAATTTCAATCAAGTTTCATACCAGCGAACGAAGCCAATATGGTGCCCATTTCATATAATAAAGAAGAGGGTTCTAAGCTTTACTTTACCGAGTGGCCTGGACCGAAGCCCTACCAAAAACTGCACAGCAAGCTTTAGAGAGAGGCAGGCCCGCTGAAAAACAAGTCAAAATACTATTCCGACTGATTTATTGTGAGAGAAAAACACTGTTTCGGTTAAAAAAACAAGCTAAAAAGTACGGATTATAAGACAAACGGATTATAAAACAAACGAACAAGGCCTTTATCGTGTTTTTAGGGTATTTTTAGGAGCAGCTCTCACCTTTTCTTTTTCGATTTCGAATCACAGTGGGTCTGTGGTGTTGTTTTGCGAGATCGGAAGCATCTTTTTCAAAAGACACAGAATCCATTGTAACCTATTCGATACTCTTCCATCCTGAACCAGGAACACAAAAGAAGCATCTTTACTTTGCCTCTTATGCGTATTGTGGACTACGACAACGCGATGACGTTAACCTCCATGACATGCGAACGGGCACCCGCCGCGGGCACGCTCAGGTCGATCTTGTTGCTTGCTGGGGCTATGGTGCCTAGCACCACTAACGTGGCGACCGTAATCAGAAGCTTGCATGCAAATGCTGAAATGCCTATAGCGTCGTACAGCCGCCATGACATGCAAACGGAGCAAGAACATCAAGGCCGAACGCCCGAATGCGAGGCTGAACCCAGGAGACAACCGACACACATATGGTCACCGCACACAAACAAAACAATAGAGGCTGAACCCAGGAGACCTGACGATGTAAAAGTCGCAAGTTACAGAATATGGTCTGATCTGGCCATTATCCCAATCTTCAGCAACTGCAGGGATCTGAGCTGCATGCTAACTTACTGTAATCCGCAAACTCAAGTTAACACCACATCAAGGTCACAGCAATGTTAGATGGTATATGAGTGACTGGGATCGCATCTGGTACTAGAACTCTAACGACACAGGGCAGAAATTCGACATAGGCATGAGTCAGAATCGATCTCTCCAAAAAGGAAGACCCATCATCAGAACTTGCTCCACTCATCAGCCACAGCCAGTCATATCCCCACCAGAGTCAGTCAAGGAAGTCGTTTGTAGGGAAACGGTCCTGCAAACAAGGCAACCAAAACACCAGAGGAACAAGTCAGATGGGGGGACAAAACAAGCGAAAGCTGCCATGTGCTACGGTGCTGTAACGGGTTAGTTTCAGCGTGTCAATTGCAGCAGCCTGTGCACTGCGCAAACGTCAGCTAGGTGATTCAGATTGCAACACAAAACAGTGATCAGTTGCAGCAGCTTGTGTGATGTGTGCAAACGTCAGCTACCCTCAGGTGATTCAGTTGGAACACAAAACAGTGGTCAAGTTAGGGCCCGTTTGGCGTGGCTTCCAGGTGCTCCGGCTCCGGCTCCTCCAAATGGGGCCTTAATTTTGGATCATGTTGCCCAAAAGAGAAGGGTCCAAACCCACAATGGCAAAACGTATGCAGACCTGTTGTGCCATTCTTGTGTGCATGGTAAATAGCATATGCAGTAACAAGAAAAGGACACTATAAGAGAGCTAGTTTCAGCATGTCAGTTGCAGCAGGCTGTGTGCTGTGATAGAGCTAGTTTCAGCATGTCAGTTGCAGCAGCTTGTGTGATGTGCAAACGTCAGCTACCCTCAAATGCAAAACAAAACGGTGACAGACTTAATGTTGGATCAAATTATATATGTAAAGAAAACTTAGTGTTGGTTCATGTTGCGCCAAAAGAGAGGGGCTCAGAACCAGCAATGGCAATGCGATGCTTAAACAGGAAATGCAGTACCTACTACCAAGAAAAGGACACTATAAGAGAGTAAACTGAATGTAGGTGCCCTTTTTTCTTCCTTTTCCTTAACTGCTAGGCTGTAAGTCATATTTATTTGAACATTTAAACAGAACAAACCCTCAACGATGTAAGGCATATTCATATGAACATTTGATACAAAAATAAACAAGTACATACCTAATTCTTTGGAAGACGATCTCTTGGATGATGGAATTTGATGCTGCAGAACATTCTGTGACTTCGTGGCAAAATCATGTCCATAGTCAGTACCATCAATTACTCCCTGAAACAACACAGCTCCACAGTTCAAATACCAGAAAGGAGAAATAAACCATGTATAGTTGAAATCAGTCAAATCACAATGTGAAAATCTGTGAACACCTAATCCCCCGCTCGAACATGCAGGAGAGCTGCATATCATTTCATTAAGAAGAAAGTATATAATGGAGACAAAGGAGATCTCCCACTCCAAACAGAAACACCTTGAAGCCATTTAGGAATAACATTTCTTTGCATAAACATCAGATCAGGAATAACAAGCACAGATCACAATGCTTAAAAAACAAGCATGCACACTCTTTCTTATCTACATAACAGATAATCAAATCATCATTGTTACTGTAGTTTGAAACCAACTAAAGAATCTTGGAATGCCACAGGTAATTTGAAAAGGTGTGTTCAGTTACTAGCTTGTGCCTTTTCCAGTGATTAAGAAGTAAGGTAGTGACTAGCAATAGGTACTACTAATTAAAGAGAAGACAAGAAAAAGAACTACCACTGAATGAACTAACCATCAATAATAAATACATACCCCTCTGCTTGGGCACCGATCTTTCGGGTGATAAAATTCACAAGCTGATCCAAATTGGCATGTCCCAGTTTTCATGTAGAATGGGCATTCTGCCGGATGCCACCCACTTGAAAGTTCTTTTGGATGATTGAATATACATGCTGATTCAAATTTACATTTCCCAAATTGCATGTAGTACCGGCAATCTGGTTGACCAGGCCTCTCAGGATATTTTTGTTGCTGGTACATCTGATCTTTTAGTGTGGTTCTAGCTGCTGGGTTGTGTTCGTTTGCAGCAACTGACCTTTTTGGACTTGCTGGACCCTGCATGCTTGGGGTAATATCCTTCGGGTGATGAAACTTACAGTTTGCACCAAATTTACAGGACCCGGTTTTCACATAGAAGGGGCACTCAGGTTCACCAGGTCTGTCAGGATAAACCATCAGTTCTCCTGATAGTGATGGCTCTTTTTTTGGATGGTATCTACTTGATTTTTCTTTTGGATGGTATCTACTTTGGAATTTGTCTTTTGGATGGTAGGTACTTGGAAATTTGTCTTTTGGATGGTAATATTGGCACGATGATCCAAACCTACAATTACCAAATCTCAGAAGGAAAGGGCATACAGGCCTCTCAGGATAGTTCCCATGTTCCTGCTTGCACAAAGGCCCATCTGAGCTATCCGCCGAGCAGCAGCCATCAGAATCATCTGTAGCAGATGCCCAATCAGGATCCTACTTGAAGCAAATGAGAAAAGTTATTAAGAATGCATTACTATGGCCACAGTATGCATAGTACATGTGGAATTCCAAAATTGCAAAAGTGACAAATCTGCTTTACTTGAATGAAAAGGACGCTTGTCTAATAAAATCAAATAGTAGCATGCAAAATTCCCTAACACTTCGGCTCAGCTGCCACAGGCTAGTCATATCAGAATGCCTTTTCACATAAAGGTCCAGGTCTATAGGTTCAACTTAAGCATCTACTAGATTCAACAAATATTGGAAGAAACTAATGCCAAATATTTATTCAATCAACAATATGAAAATACATCTGAGCAGTGTCACATGGTTTTTGAGGTCATAAGGCTTGGGTTTGGGTTGATAACATCTGAAAGGAACAAAAAAAGAATAAAAACGAAATTGCAGTCCCAATGAAGATTGGAAAAGCATTCATCCATATACAAGCAGATATGCTACAAGAAAATAAACATAGGGTTTCTTTTCTAAAAAATATGTTGCAGAATTCCAAGATGTGGACAAATGAATATTTACATATACAGTTACATAAATGTACAATATTCAAATAGACAGCATGTATGGATGTACCTTTTTTATCCTCATTTCCTTTTCTTCTGTACAAGGGGGCACATTCTGAGGAGGTAAAAGCATCCGAAGTATGTTTGGAGGAAGGATCTCAGATCCAGACGATATGTCATCCATGGTTCCATGTTCAGGTGACTTCTTTGAGTGTGGTGAAGATTGCAAGTTAGTATCATCCCATCCCGTTGCCGTGTGGAGTTGAACATCAAGCACTTGCTCTGGATGGTTATAACAACATTTCTTTCCATATCCGCATGTACCATTACGCATGTAATAGGTACACTTCCTTGCTCCCTGATCAAAGAACGAAATTTGGCTCAGCAACTTTAAATGCGAAGCATAAGTTTATGAACCAGCTTAGATGAATAGAAGGAAACAGGAAAATGCATACTTCTCGAATGGGGAGGCCAACACGGTTCAGTTCCAGAAATTCAACTTCATGATTTCTTTGTTCAGAAGGGAAACTTGAAACTTCCAGTTTTGCTTTGAGCTGTAGTGATGAAAACAAGTTTCAATATGAAATAAGGACGAAAGTTATGCCAGATAATAATAAGATCCACAAATGAAAAATAAAACACTAAACAGGTATACCACAACTTTCTAAAGTGCATATCACACATACTGGAAATACAGCAAGTCAGCACTGAAATCTTTATAGCATGCACTTCAAATTTAGATGGATAAAATGCATTGTGAAGGAAAAGATGCATGCACACATGTAAAACAAATCAAATGGAGTGTGGTTGATTGTATATCATTAAACAGATGAAAGAAGGCTGACACTGAAAAGCCAACAGAGTTAAGAAATTAATGCCAATTTTACCCGTGGATGATTGAAGTGGCATGATGACCCATATGAGCAGCTCCCGGTTGACATGTAAAAACGGCAGTTCTGTTTACCAGGCCTCTGTGGGTATCCTTCAGAGAGACCAATCTTCTCTCTGTGCACCTCTTGATCTTCCACAGCATTATCATCTGTGATTGTTCTCAGTTGATCACTGGTGCGTTGCTCCACTGCCTCATCTTGATCTTGTACAAAAACACCATCTTCAACTTGCTCTGCCACCATGATGTCCTCCTCTCGTGATTCTTCCACAGCAATGCCAACCTTGGCTGCACCCAAGGTGCTACCAACACCTTGCTCCACCACCTCTGGATCAACTGCAGCATTATTATTATCTGTGGTTGTTCTCAGTTGATCACTGGTGCACTGTGGTTCCACATTACCCTCATCTAGTACAGAAAGGCCATCCATACCTTGGTCTGGAACCACCATGTTCTCCTCTTGTGACTCCACACCACTGCCATCCTTAGCTGCACCTTGTTTGTCAATGGCATCTTCTTGATGCACCTTTTTATCTTCCACAGAATTCTCACCGTCGGTCGCTCTTAATTCGTCACCTGCAGATTGTTCCATTTCCTTGTCTTGATCTTCAACAGTAATGCCATCTGAGGCCACACCCTTTTCAACAATGGCGCCTTCTTGCTCCACCACCTCTAGCAATTCTGCAGCATTATCTTCCATGGTTGTTCTCAATTGATCACTGGTGCATTGTACCACCACATTACCCTCATCTAGTACAGAAAGGTCATCCACACCTTGATCTGGATCCACAACGTTCTCCTCTTGTGGCTCCACACCACTGTCTTCCTTAGCTGTACCTTGTCTGTTAATGGCATCTTCTTGATCCACCTTCTTGTTATCTTCCACAGCATTCTCACCCTCGGTTACGCTTGATTCGTCACCTGCAGATTGTTCCGCTTCCTTGTCTTGATCTTCAACAGTAATGCCACCAGCAGTCATACCCTTTTCAAAAGTGACACCTTCTTGCTCCACCAACTCTTGGAATTCTGCAGCATTATCCTCCATGGTTGCGCTCAGCTGATCATTGGTGCATTGCTCCACCGCATTACCCTCATCTCCTACAGACATGGCATCCCCACCTTGCTCTGCAACCACCACGCCCTCCTCTTGTGCCTCCACACAACTGTCATCATTGATCACACCTTGTATGTTGATCACATCTTCTGGATCCACATTCTCATTATCTTCCAGACCATTCTCATCCTTGGTTGACCTTGATTCATCACCAGCAGATTGCTCTACTTCCTTCTCTTGGTCTTCACCAGCAATACGATCTGTGGTCACAACCCTTTCAACAATGTCACCTTCTTGCCCCACCGCCTTTTGATTTTCTGCAGCATGGTCATCCAGGGTTGATCTCAGTTGATCACTTGTGTATAGTTCCACCATATTATCCTCGTCTGATAGAGAGATGCCATCCTCACCTTGCTCTACAGCCACTACGTTGTTCTCTAGTAACTCCGCACCACTGCCATCCTTGGTCACACCGTATTCGTCTACGACATCTTCTTGGTCCACCACCTTATCCTTAACTTCCACAGAATTTTCATCCCTGGTTGCTCTTGATTCATCACCATCAGATTCCTTCATTTCCTTCTCTTGATCTTCAACAGCAATATCATCTGTTGTTGCATCCATATCAAAAATGGCACCTTCCTGCTTCACCACCCCTTGACCTTCTGAAGCATTATCATCCATGGTTGTTCTCGGTCGACCACTGGTACATTGCTCCACCACCTTATGTTGATCTTGCACAGAAATGCCATCCTCGCCATGCTCCGCCACCACCACATTCTCCTCTTGTGGTTCCACAGTAACGCAATCTTTAGCTGCATCCAGTACACCAACAGAAACTTCTTGCTCCACCGCCTTCTCCTTTTCTTCCACAACATTGCCATCCTTGGCTGCTGTTGATCCATGATTGGTGCATTGTTCTACAGCTTCCACAGCAGTGTAACACTCAGTTTCCCCTTCTAGCTCCACCACCTCTTGATCTTGTATGGCTGTTCTCAATTGATCACCGGTGGACTGCTCCACTACTTTATGTTGATCTTGTAAAGAAACGACATCCTCATTTTGCTCTGCCACCACCAAATCATCATCCTCTTGTGATTCCACAGGAGCACCATCCTTGGCTGCATCCAGTAGTACACCAACAGCATCTTCTTCCACACCCTTCTCTTCTTCAACAATATCGTCATCCTTCACTGTTTTTGACCCATCATAGCAGCATTGTTCTACAGCTTCCACAGCAGTGTAACACTCAGTTTCCCCTTCTAGCTCTACCACCTCTTGATCTTGTACACCATTATCATCTGTGGCTGTTCTCAATTGATCACTGGTAGACTGCTCGACTACTTTATGTTGATCTTGTAAAGAAACGACATCCTCATTTTGCTCTGCCACCACCAAATCATCATCCTCTTGTGATTCCACAGGAGCACCATCCTTGGCTGCATCCAGTAGTAGACCAACAGCACCTTCTTCTTCCACACCCTTCTCTTCTTCAACAATATCCCCATCCTTTCCTGCTTTTGACCCATCATCGCTGCATTGTTCTACAGCTTCCAAAGCAGTGTACCACTCAGTTGCCCCTTCTTGCTCCACCACCACCTCTTGATCTTGTGCAGCATTACCATCTGTGGTTGTTGTCAATTTATCACCAGCGCACTGCTCCACCACCTCATGTTGATCTTGTACAGAAATGACATCCACGCCTTGCTCTTCCACCACAGCATTCGCCTCCTCTTGCAATCCTACAGAAACACCATCTTCAGCTGCATCCAGTATGCCACCAGCACACTCTTGCTTGATCACCCTCACAGCATTGCTAGCCTTGACTGCCCTTATTTCATCACCAGCACATTGCTCTACTGCAGAGTAGTTACTCTCATCTTCCACCACAGCAGCAAAATCCTCGGTGGCCCCTTGTTGCTCCACCACCACCTCCTGATCTTGGACCACGGCTGCCCCCAACTCATCACCAGGGCACTGCTCCCCCTCCTCCACCTGACCACGCGTCGGGAAACAATTTCTGTTCGCAGAGCGCCCATCAACAGCAAGACCTTCCTTCTCCCGACAGTCTTCAGCTGTATTCCACCCTTCCTCGGCCGGTACCAACCCTAGCTCCTCCTCCTCCACACCTGCGCCACGCCCAGCAACCTGATCGTCCCCGTGCTGCCGCTGGAGTGCAGCCAGCGAGGGCATGTGGAAGCTGCTGCCGCCCGAGGCCGCGTCGGAGGCAGGGGGGCCGTCGGCGGAGGGAGCGGGCCCCGCCCCCGCGTCGAGTAGGAGCCCGAGGCCCACGTTGGAAGCCGGCGGCTTGGGGCTGGAGAAGCGGCCGATGGCGGCGGAGAGGGTGGCGGGGAGAGGAATGGAAGCGAACAGCCTCCTCCCGAGGCCACCGCCGCCGGTAGCGGGCTTGGACTTGGAGTTGGCGGTGGGCTTCGGCGAGCAAGGTGGCGGATCGGCGGCCGCCAGGGCGTCCTTGAACTCGTCCTCGTCTTCCACCCCAGCCATGGCGGCGGTGGCGGCGGCGGGGCCAGGGGCGGGGGCGGGGGCGGGGGCGCGGGCGGGGGAGGAGGGAGGAGGAGAAACCCTAAACCCTCGATCAGTCTGGATGCTCCTCCCAACCACTCCGCTCACCTCGTCCTTCTGTCACCCACTCACGCTTTCGCTTCGCCTGTCCTCGTCCTTGGTTGGTTGGAGACTTGTGTGTCGCAGTCGTGGCCTCGTGGGAGACTGGGAGGATGGGCCCCGTGGGCCGTTGTTGTTTCTGTTCCAGGGATTTGTGTACACGTCCATTGGTATGGAATAGAATATTGATTACTACGAGATAGGAGTATTGGCTTTGGAAACGCATGCATCACAGCATCAGCTGGGAATCCGGGTCATTTTGTTTTGTTGTTGTTGTTGTTTAATGCACCGGGATTTGGTAGTACCTGGGGTATGCAGTGCCAGGATAGAAAGTCCTGGTTTGTTTTGGGCGCTTGGCCTAGAAAGTAGCAGCGGCTGCTGTTTCCCCTGCAAATCTCCTCATATATTACTGTAGCACCAGCAGATCAAGCTGCAGCCGCAGCGGTTTAAGCACAGCTGAACTTGACTTGCACGTTGGTTTGATACTAAATACTCCTTCCATCCCACAAAAAATGTCATTATGGAATTCAGGTTGGTTAAACTTTTTTAAGTTTGACTATTTATAAAAAAAATAATAGCAACATTTGTACATCTAAATAAGTTTATTATAAAAATAAATTTAACGATTTATGTGATTATACTAATTGTACCATAAATTTTAATATTTTCGTATATACGTTTGGTCAAAGTTGAAAATGTTTCTTCGTCTCGTGAAGTGAAAATGACATTGTTTATGGGACATAGGGAGTACTCTGGCACACTCCTAGTAAGACATTTCAACTAGAGTTCTTAAGCGGTGGAAGAAAGTTCATTATACTACTTCACTAGGGAATTCAACTTAAATTGAGATGAGATGCTGCATCAGGTTGTCAGATGCTTCCACGACCATTGGAATCACAAAGTCTTGTAGAGATGCAAGCCGGATCGCGGGCAAATCCAGCCGCTTGCATAGTCTCGGATGGAACCTTGTTGCATTGGTTATCCCTTGGAAAGAGTCAAAGAATGGGTTACTTATATTGGTGGATGGTTTGACATATAATATCTAACTACATTATAGGATGATATATATGTAAAAGACTAAAACTCTTGTGGTGCATGACCTAGGACGACACCAATCCCGGATAGTGGCCTCAAGGAAGGGGTAAAGGAGATCTCACCTATCGACAGAGCTAGATGAAATTGGAGATACGGGACATTCAAGTGAAGGTACAAGTACAACCTAAGCAAAGATTATCGACAAGTAGAATAGAAAGTAGAGAAGAAATTGGCAATCATATCTAGTTGCTTGAAGAGTTTTATCGTAAGCCCTAGCATAAATTAGAAAAAAGAAGTGCAAATTTATAGCAACAAGGCAAGAAGGATGGCATGACATCTAAGAAAGGAGAAGAGATCTTCAGCCTGCTCGCTTGGGTTTCAGCCAGGGCTTATCAGCCAGCCAACAGTGTTTTTCTCTCACAACAAACCAGCACCAACCGAGCTTATCAGCCCAGAAACCAACCAACAAACATGTCGCTTGCAGATAACAGAGCAATGATCAAACAATGGAGGAACTAGGTGTTTGTTTTGAGAAACGAACATATCCATCTTCTCTCACGTTTTGAATTTGTTACATAGATGGGATGAATCAACCTATCATCCTTACATGCACATAATTAGTGTAAGTATAAGGAGGCGAACAAGTTAACAAAGCGTGAATGAGGTGACGAGACTATATGAGTAGAGAATCATGGAAGACGTCTTTAGAATAACGCGACTATACCCTTGGTGTAGTAGTTTTTTTTTTGTTGAAAGGTTCGTATAGTTTATTAGTTGCAAGTACATTCGCAAAAAAGGTTCAAAACTAGTTCAGGAGTCATGGGCCCTGTTCGCTTCGCTGAAAAGTCAGGTTAAAAAATATTGTTCACTAATTTATTGTAAGAGAAATACACTCTACCGTGGCTGACGACCATGGCTGATAGGTTCAAACGAACATGGCCATGGTCATATATACAATCTTTTTACAGTTAGCTTGAAAGAAATAGTGGATCGAGTAAAGTACCGAAAAAGGACCGTGGTGGAGTCAGAGAAAAATTTAGGATCAGATTCAACGTTCTTATAAGCTTTGTAAGTATAATGTACCGAATAATCCGTGATGGCCACTTGATACAAAAAGTGTATGGGGATGTCCGGAGGGGTGTGTGTGTGTATTATCTTGATGACGTACACAAATTGATATTCTGGCGGATCAAAGTCTTCGAGAAATCATGTGCGGGCACACCCGTATGCGATGCGAGCAAGGAGCAATGCAAGAGCTGGAGCGGTACACCGCGCTGACCGCACGACACGCCTCGGCGCACCGCGTCGCATCGAACCCGGCACGGCTCGCCCTGCCCCCACGTCCGGCTCGGGCGCTCGTCCGTTCCGTTCCCCTCCCATTCTTCTCCTACGCTCGCTCCCCACACCACCGAAACTGCCCCGCCTCCGCCGTCGCCGCCCGCGCCCGCTCGTCCTCCCCGCGCCGCCTCGGGGACGCCCCGGTCGGAGATCTCCCTGACCACGGCGATGGCCGCCGCTGCCGCCCTCCGCTCCTCCGCCGCACTCCGGCTCCTGCGCCTCGCCCCGGCAGCCTCGTCGGCCCTGTCCGCTGCTTCCCGGCCCACCGCCGGGGTCGCGCCGCTCTCGCGCCTCATCACCGCGCTCTCAGGTACTCCTCCCCACGTCTCTTTGACTACCTGTTGATTTTACCGCACGTGGGTGCCTGGATCAGACTGATCTCTTTATCGGGTGCTTCCGGGTTGATTCCTGGTTGGGATCCTCCTGGTCTAGATATGGTTGCGCAAATTACTAGGGAGATTAGAACTCTAGGTTGATGCTAGTGGGGACATTTATTGCAATGCCAGAAGCTATTACTCCGTAGGCAAGGGTGTTGTTATGCGAGATTTTATGATTGACTGGAAGTTGACATACTCTAGCTCAGAGTATATATCAACATGAAGACAGAGAGTTGCCTGGACGTGAAATGTGTGGTCCTAGAGTGTTTCTTTCTAGGCTAATGTCTAATCAAACTTTTTAATGAACTCACTTTCTTATTTATATATACAACACGAGTGATGTTGCTTGAAAGCTAGAACATCGGTTGCTTGACAGCGAGGCCTTTGTTTCTGAAGCAACTAGACAAAAGGTTGCCTGGCATTTGTTTGAGTACACGGGCTTCAGGACATCAGCAACAAAAAAATAATTATTTATGTTTTTTCACGCATGGGTTCAGGGGCGGCATGGGATTGTTACTGTTTAGGGTTGGCCCATCCTATGCTGATGGCTGCAAGGAGAGTTGGTTTTGAGAGAAGGTGGATGGGAATAAGGGACATGGTTTTGAGAGAGTAGGTGGATGGGAATAAGGGACATCGTGTGTTGTTGCACACCACATTTGGGCGGTGCTTTTATGGAAGGGAATAGCTCCCCGGCAATGGGAAGGGTGTTAGTGGTGCCTTACCTCACTCACAATGCGAGGAGACATGATTTGAACCGGGGACCTTTCTGGTGTACTGTAAGCCCAACTGTTCTATTACAATATATTGTGTTCTTAACCATGAACGTAGGGGTACAGTCATTAAAAAAGGGGATACAAAAGTTGTCTTTTTCCTGTTTTCCATATTAGTTTGCAAAGAAAATACCTGGTTGGTTAATACTAATCTTTCACTCTAATTTAACATGTGTTGGATTCTGTGAGAGAAATGGTTAAAGGGGATTTAAAGTGATTGTACTTTATTTAACGAGATTGAATTATTTTATGTGAAATCCTTGGAGTTGTGGAATTTTTCCTTTGATTTGTGTTTATATATTTGGGAAAAGAAGCTAGAAGAGTCAATGATGCCTTATTTTTTTTTCATTTTGATGTGATTCTGATATTGCAGTTCACTTAAAACTCCTCATTCTTAATTAGCTTGTCCATGTTATGTTATAAACTCAGGTGGCAACAATCCTATCTCATGGAAACTGAGACGCTTCTTCAGTTCAAATGAAAAGCACTTGCCTGCAATATCTGATCCAGAGATAGAATCTGCATTTAAGGATTTGTTGGCTGCTAGTTGGAATGAACTTCCAGATTCTCTCGTAGCAGAAGCAAAGAAAGCAGTATCTAAAGCCACCGATGATAATGCTGGTCAAGAGGCTTTGAAAAATGTATTTCGTGCAGCTGAGGCGTGTGAAGAATTTAGTGGAACCTTGGTTACCCTAAGAATGGCTCTTGATGATCTTTGTGGCCTGACTGGTGAAGTCAGTACTTGTTATCTCTGTTTCCTCATGTATTTTTTGGGGGTGCTTATATCAGTCTGATCAAGACAAAACTTTTGCAGAATGTGGGTCCCTTGCCTGGTTATATTGAAGATGCTGTTAAAGCTGCATATAATCGCTACATGACATATCTGGAGTCCTTTGGCCCTGAGGAAACTTATCTAAGAAAGAAGGTGGAGACTGAGTTGGGGACAAAAATGATACACCTCAAAATGAGATGCAGTGGCATAGGTTCTGAGTGGGGAAAGGTATTCTTATGAATTTTACTTGTCCGGTTGTCCCTGTGGTACAGTTTTACTTCAGTGTTGTGTTATGCTGGTAGAAAATTAGAAATATGTTCCTTGATACTTTTGTGATTCTTGATGTTTGTAAAAGTTTCTCCGCTTCTAACTGTGCCATAGTTCCTTTTAAGATTATGTTCAGTTTTTGTTCCATATGCAGTGTTAGTGCACTTTTAATATAATGTTATCATGTTTATTGCTTGACTGATTTTTGTATTGTTGATTGAATTTCCCATGCTTGGTCCTTTGCCTATCTGGAGAAAATCTATTAAAAACTTGAATCTGTATTTTCTGCAACCATCCATCCATCCATTATTTTGATATTTTCCATACCAGGTGGAAGCCCATGATTTCTATGAACTGGTGTTAATTGTTCAGTTGCCAGTGGGATCCTAAACCATATTGATTGTATTTCACTTGGTACAAAAAAAATTGGGGTAACTTGAAGGGGGTAATATGTACTTCAGGCTTCTCAAATAGTTTCATATCTTCTTTTTTACCATATGATTTTTTAATTTTAAGCAAATTATGCATAACAACTGACCATAGCTGGCTGGCTTGCTGTAAGTGTTCATGCACTGAGTGTCATAGCAAGATCTGGTAAGGATTGTTAAATTAGTTTGTCATAGAACTCATGGTACCGGAATTGCATCCAATTTCACTTTGCGTGAAATCTGAAGTACCAAATATAGCTCCCCTTCTGTCTCTGGCGAGTTGACAGCAACCAGTTGTTTTGTTACCACCACGGACAAGCTCCTCTCTGCGGGTAGGATTTTGAGAAAAAGTGTATCGAACATTTTGGAATTGGTGATATGTGAGTTAGACTTTGCTTTATTGGTTCAGGGTAATTTTGTTATTTTCAAATTGGTAAATGTTTTCCCATTTCTCCTACTTTCACCATAAACCAGCAAAACAAACATGCATTCGGGCTGATTCCTGGCCAATATTGTCTGGTCTTCCTCCATGATCTTTTGCTCACGGCATTACTAGCAGGCAAGCGGCTTTATAAGAATCACATGGTTGTGCTTTTTCAAACACCTCGTGCACATAATGATAGTGTACCATTTATGGGGAAAGGATGTTCTGGTCCCATGTCGTTATTGCTATGAAAATGTACCTTCTCTTTAGTTTTTTTTCATCGGATTATTTTCTGATGATGAAAATGAATTATGTCCTGCTCAACCTCATAGCATGTATGGAATTATGTTCTCAGTTCGATACACATCGAGCCTGCTTGTTGTGTCAGGACTGAAGCTAGTGAAATAGCATATATATTTAGGACTCCTTACTCATAATTACTGTTCTACGTGCAGATCTCCCTGATTGGCACCTCAGGGATCTCAGGTTCCTATGTTGAGCTAAGGGCATGATGGGAAGTCTGCAGATCAGAACCATGGAAATCATCGATGGGCTGATGAAATCTGTAGACCAGAATGTCTTTCTGCATTTTCCTTTCTCCTTTGTAGCTAGCATGGCAATAACAATGTGATCATCAAATAGCTGTGCATTTGAAGTAACTCCAGATACTCCCGTCTTTGTGTCTGTAATAAGAACGTGTTTGATGTGCGTGAAACCTGTCAATTCTGTTAATTTTTGACATGCACCTGACTTCTTGTTCAACTGGTGGGAATGGAATACTTTGTTCATGATCATATGCCTTCGCTTGCAACTGAACTTCCTTAAGCATTGCAAAAAATACAGTGACCTTCCATTTTTTATGCAAGGGTTTAACAATCTCAATATGTGATTGCTATTCACTAAGTAGTGGATTGTAACATGTTAAATCATCACTTAAAATACAAAATGTGTTATATATAATTAAAATGGTGTGAAAAATGTTTAATGTTTACTTATTGTAATAATAATCTGAGTTTCATTTGACCTTTTGTTTAAATCCCAAGATCCACAATAAATGTTAGACGTAATAAAGGATTAATTAAATATTGACTAAATATTTATTCAGCTAAACTTGTTATGAGGTTGAGAAAGGTGAAAAAACAAGCCATATGAAGTTGCAACGTACATGGGCTCGTCAGGTCAGACCACGAAATGTGTGGTGCATATAAGGGAGACAACTATGCTATACTCCCTCTCTCCCAAATTATCTGTCGCTTTTGGTTTCCGTGCCACAAGTTTGACTCGATTTGTAGAAAATACATGCAACATTTGTATCTTCAAGTAAATTTCTTAAAAAACTGATTCAAATATCTTTTCAATAATATCAATTATGTACCATAAATATTAATATTTTTTAAAATATATTTTGTCAAAGTTGTTTCTCGGAAAGCGAAAACGACAGATATTTTGGGACAGAGGGAGTAGACAATTAGACATAGATTGTTTGCCATAAACAAAAAAAATTTGCTCATTTTAATACTAGGTTTAGATATAGATTGTACTCCCTCCGCCATGAAATAGTGCGTTATTACTTCTAAGATGCATTTTATGTGGTGCCCATATTCATATTTGGCAAAGTTTATTAAAAAGAAAACTATAATTTGAGGATAAACTTCTTAATTGTGTTTATTCTATGGGTACATATGTCATTTGAGTGTTCTTATAAGTTGTCCTAAAATTTCTATAATGTGTTTTATCACAGAAACAGAGGGAGTACTCCCTCCGTTTTTTTAAGTGTTACATTTGGTTTGTCCCAAGTCAAACATTGCAATCTTTGACCAACCATTTTTAAAAATCCTTATAGTTTCACAATATATGAATTATATATTATGATAATATTTCTCATAATAAATCTAAAAATACAAATCTTATTGCATGAAACTATATAAATTTTTTAATCAATGGTCAAAGATACACATGTTTGACTTAAGACAAACCAAATGTGACACTTAAAAAAAAGGGAGGGAGTATGTCATAAATATTAGGGAAATTATTTGTTCATTGACAAGGAGCCTTCTCACAGTAAGTGACAAGGCAGGTGGCATATAAAGGGAGACAGCTAATAAGTGGCCTGAAATTATTTGCTACGGTTTATAAAACCCTTAAAAAGAAAAGCTCACTGATTTCTATTTTACACAGTGTATCACCAGTACAAGTATACAACATTGGCCAGCTGGTATTTTGCTTACAGCCATCTACGTACGTATCTCCTCACAAACATCTACAACATGAGGCCGAAGCAATCCAAGAGGAACGCGTGACACGAGCAGCAATCTTCAAGCGGTTGGCCTGCAATAGCAGCATTTGATTTGATCTGAGCCATCATCTGCCAGCTACATGACCTTCTCTGACTTTGTGACTGATGGGGCTCATGATGTTTGAGGTAATGGCGATGCTGCTCGTGACCACTGCCAGAATGATCATCGTTGCCGCCAATGCCTTGTCCTTGCGCTTCGTTATTCCATGAACATCCCTGCAGAAAAACCGAGTGTTAGATTCTAAGCTAACATAGCATTAGTTGACAATAGCATCTTTTTTTTTCAATCAGGGTAACAATAGTTCATATAGCACAGCTTCTAACTAAGGAGTAGTTCATATACTTCAGGTTTTGATTGCTATGTATCTGTGAGAATGTGGAGTAGGACAACGTAGCTTTGGCACAGTTTTGGCATATTGGCGCTATACCCTATACTATACATATACACCACCTGGCTGCCCACTTGGAGTACATTTTCAAGAATTTCCTCGAACATGAATATGATGCCTTTCTGATCATATTGACCTTGCTACGGGCAAACAGGGTTGCTTTTACAAAATCAATTGTCTGATACTATTTTTAGTCACACAACAAATAAAAGCATGCTGCCTTACTATCTTATGTATTGTATTAGAAAAATCAGTTCCGGTTCATATGTTTGCAATACTTGTTGATTACCATTACTTTCTTGCTTATTGCATCATGCGGAAAATGACCGATTGCGCCTCTGAACATTAAACTCGACATCAATTAGGTCAGTTATACCAGCTTTGATCTTCTGACCTACTCGGACAGGACCCACACCCTCAGGAGTACCTGTAGAGGAACTAATGAATAACCCACAGAAAGACCTCAGATGCACAGAAACAAGCTGAGCATAGAGAAAATGTCACTACCTGTTAGTATCACATCACCCTCCATTAATGTCATGATGGAACTGATATAGCTGATCAGAAAAGGAATCTTGAATATCATGTCACTTGTGGATCCTTTCTGTCTTAGTTCATCATCTACCTGGATACAGTTGGTAGTCAATTGTACACCATATGCTCTATCACTTCAGGCAACATTAAAGAAATTCAGTACATATTTGCAGAAATACCTTTAGCCAGAGCTCGAGATCGTCGGGATTAGTGACAGCCGATCTTGGAACCTGATTGGTGGAGAAATTATCATTAGCTGAAGTCAAAACATAGTGTGTCATACTAATGGGATTACACATTTCATGTCTCTTATCTAACAACCCTTCTGCAATCTGCACAGACTAATATTTCTGCGCTAACTAACTTCAATATGGCATTGATTCATTGAGGTGTAATTATAACAAGCGAACACAAATAAATAAAATATACTGTCCTGAGCCACCTAACAACTCCAAGCGCATGAAGAAACATCATTGCTTACTACTGCACTAATTGGAGTGAAGGTGTCTTGTCCTTTAGCCAAAGTCCATGGAAGGCCTGCAGACTGCAAAGTCCATGAAAAGCATCAAGAGGTTGAGTCTACTTAAGGTCTTGGCAGCCAATTGATGCTACCAGATTTGTACAACAAAATATATTTAAAAAAAAACATTATGTGAAACGAAATAGATTGGATGGATGAAGACAGTAACTAGCTCGACTAAAAGCATCTGAATCTTTGCTGTTCATCAATAGATATGATCATGGAGAAGATCCACTACAACAACAACAACAACAACAACATAGCCTTTCAGTCCCAAGCAAGTTGGGGTAGGCTATGGAGAAGATCCACTAATGAGTTCAATTGCAAAGTTAGTTACTGAATTTACTTATGTAAATTGAATGTTTTTATGATCATACCTAAGATTCAACAACCGCTAGGGATGACAGATGACACTACTACATCAGTAATTGAACAAGTAGTACTGAGGCTCAGAAAAACTACAGAAGGTAGAACTCACCTTAGCAACAGATTGAAGGTCCCTTGCTGTCATGTCCAAAGCAAGTGCATAACCTGGAAAATTCAATGACGCAAGCAGCTATCACATATTTAGTTTGTCACCAACAAATGCTTTAAACTGCTCAATTCAGAAAGCATAAAAAGAATGAGGTAAGCACAAAGGAGACTACATATCGTAAGCTTTTAACTCAAGTTCACTAATGATGAAGAGAACAGAATACAAATAGTTACCAATCAGGCCAAAAAACAACAAATCCACAATTGTACAAGAAAACATAGTTGAATTCACGAGTTTTGTATTTCTATATTCCATGAAACATACTTTTGTATTCCTGCCTATGCAATAACCATCATCAAATGAGCACGAGCTTGCCTTGGAAATTCTAGCTTTTAAATTGCTCGCTTGCACTTTCCACCAAGCTTGTCAAGAAGCTAGAATTGCTAAAATCCATCTGTTTCTAGCTTCCATCACACCGTCACTCCTCGTGACAATAAAGCAGTAAGGCCAAAATAACTCTCAATGATCCTAAATAGTTTCCAGAGAATGAACATATCCTAGAATCCTAATGGACCTTTCTGAAAAATGAAACCATAGGATTTTTTTAGTACACTTTGGCACTTTGCAAACACACGAACTTTTCTCTATAAACGAGAATACAAAGCCTTACTATCTCACGAAGGGTTCGTCGTTAATTATCTCAGGTCGTAACATTTCAATGAGAACACAGAGCATGAACATATCTCAGGAAGGCTCCATCGTTGTGACGCAATTCTCAAATTACCTCCGACGAAGTCCATGGCGGACGCCTCAGGAATGTCGCGCCCGCGCCGGGAGATGACGACGGCGAGCTCAACCTCGTGGTGTAGCGACTCGAGCGGCTCCGGGATCTCGACAGCGGCGGTGTCCACGCCAGCGTGGAGGAACGACGAGGTCGGCTTCAGGAACAGGACGGGCTCCTGCAACACACCCAAAGTCCCAAACACACGCGAGATCAATCCAGACTCACACCCAAACACACGCGAGATCAGAGATCAATCCAGACTGACACCCAAACACACGTGAGATCAATCCAGACTCCAGAGGCAGCGCGGGAAGGAGGGGGGAGGGAAGTTGGAAGCGCGGCAGCCGGCAGCCTTTTGGGATCGAGGATGGGAGGCGCGCGGAACGCACCTTGGGGACCGGGTTGTTGAGCTCCTTGGCGTGGGCGATGTAGTTGCGCCCAACCCCGATGATCTTCGTGCTCGCCACGAGCAGACTCTGCGCCGCCGCAGCCGATGCCATGGCCGGCAGGGTTGGTGGACCGGAGGTGTCGAGGAGAGAGTGAAGGTGACGGAGAAGCAAATTGGTTGGCTTCTCAGTTCTGACTACTGAATAACGACTCGCACTATTGACTTCGGCCTTTCAGCTTTAAATGGCCCCCTTTTTTTTTCTAGATAAAAATGGGCTTTTTATTACTCATCAGCAGCGACCTTGCCTTCTGCGTCAGCACTCAGCGGAGTCCTTGGCCTCATCAGTGGCAGTATTACCAGCCTTGTCAAGTTGTCATCGTCCGCATCATCCTCATCCTCCTGTCAGGCACAAGCAATTGCCATTTGGCGTTGACAAAAGATTGGCATAGACGCATAGTATATAGGCAGGAACTTAAGTACAAACAAATCAACCCAAAGCTTACATCTGCATCATTGTCGTCGTCGTCATTAGTGCTTGCAGATTCCTGGCAAAGAGGAACATTGCAAGTTAATACTAAACTACATTTGATTTTGTTTCGAAAGAGAGGGCTCTGCTACGCTACGCATGAGTACACTAAACACTGTCTCTAAAAAGAACAGGAAATAGCATTGCACAAGAGAGAGTGTGTAATTCTGTATACCTCCTCAAGCCTCTTTTTCTCAGCCTCGTCAAAGGCAGCATTCTCAGCCTGAAACAGATCATTATTTTAGCTGTTGCAATTAGGAGTGTAGAGTACAAAACAGTAATCCTATATAGACAAGTCGCCATACTTTGTGCTTGCCCCAGGTCTCTGCAAACTTCTTGGCGTACTCAGGTCTCAGGGTCGTCAGTAATCAGAATGTTGTCAAACAAAGTTCCTAATTGAACCTAGTTTTGTTTGGTTGGCTAGCAGGCTAGCCCCATGCTACTTTTTCACCAATGAAGTCAAGATTCAGTAGTGATAGCAAAAGTTATCAGCCGGACAGTGGACAGTGCTTTGTATCACAGAGACACTGACTGACCACAGATTACCGAGTTCCCGAATCAGTGGAGACTTAATTGTTGACAGAGACCTGAGAGGCTGAGGCATGCAGGATGAATCAGTGTAGACTGTAGAGTAGTTTCACAAAGATCTGCAGGAAGCTTAGTGGCAAAGACATCACAGCATAAACTGTATTCTCTACACGATCACTTATTCACTTATCTAGTTATCTATCTGCCATGATGGAGATGCCAACTCAATTGGTCGGCGTACTTTTTTATCCCCTAAATGGTGAAGATTGAAGTGCACTCCCAATCACTTAGAAAGTACACCATGATGCTAACTTGACCACTTTTTTTTCCCGAGTTCATGCACACATACATGATGCTATTGACCATTTCTTTTCTGTATCATGTACTAAAAGAAAACTGAAGAAACATGATTGCTTTTGTTTCATGATTACAGTGACATTTTTATATCCTTTAGCCAACTGACACTGATAGTGAACGTAGTCTATTAAACTGAACATTCTTCTAGAGGTTGTAGTCTAAACTCGGTGTACACAACAGCTCTGTTTTTTCTTTTAAAAGATGTCTTGTGGAATTCTTGCCAGCAGCATTAGTGGCTTAGAGCCAAAAATAGGAATGTCGAAGAGAGGAAGTAACAGAAGTATTGAGGTTCCCTTGTACCTTTGGCTTGCAGTTGCAGAGGTGAGTAATCGAAACCCTCCGCTCCGGTCATGGCGTCTTCTGACTCATCGGGGCTCCGCCGCAGAGCCGCCGGCCACGGCGCTGGACAGGGTGCTGGTGTGGGCGCCGCCTTGGGCCGGAGAAACCAAAACAGGGCAGTTTGGATGGGCCGAATTCCGACCCAATTGATACTTTATCTTTTTTTTAACTAATTATAAGACGTTTTGATTTTTCTATTTATATAACTTTTGACATGCACTTAGATATATAGAAAAACTAAAACATATTATAATTTGGAATCGAGGAAGTAACAATATGGTAAATATAAAAAAACATCATGGGCCTTTGAACCTTAAACCCTTCCCTAAGAAACAAAGAGCCTATTTGCTGATCCAATAAATTATTGATGGAATTCTAATTAGGAATAAAACTTGCCACATAGAACATGCCTCGGTCGATGATCCAACTAATAAAACCATTATTCGATGTCTTAAGTAGCTTGTTGTCTAGTCCACTCGAGATAAATATGATTGTAATGTACTCATGCATTAGTGCAATCCCCAATGAGGGTCCTCGTGTGGAAAATGAAAAGATATCTCCATCATAGTCATCAACTAGCAGAGCATTTCCGGATGCGCTGGCAACTAACCATTCACTTGGATAAGATATTAGAATTACATATTTCTATGTGTTTTCAAAGAAAGTCACAGAACTTAATTTTTAATTGTAGCAACACATGGATAGTATAATAATTAAAGTTATAATGTACTTACGAGGATTTGTTCGTAGTTTGCCATAGGAAAAAACCTCAAGGTTGCATTTAAAATTGATACATATATAATAGGACATTGTTAATATTAACAAAGATTATGGATGTCACGGTCATCTTTAAAATAATGCATATAGAATATTCACTAATAATTTGTAGCTCTTAAATTTCGTTGGGAAATATAAATAGATAAAGAACATTCTCTGTCCCGTTTCTTATAAATATTTGATAGTTTTTTCTCTCATCACAACGCACGTATATATTAGCTAAATTCCTAGTAATATTTATTTCATTATTTGATAACCAGCTATTCACATAACATGGACAAAAAAACCCTTTTGGATCGACTAGGGAAAACAAACCGGCACTGTACAAGGTGAAGGATCAGTCTCATTTATTTCAATCTAAATTACAGTTCTGGTCTAAAGAATTTAAAAAAGATTACTATGTAGAATTCACTTTAAATTTGTGTTGCTGTGGAGAAAGGGTCTAACTCTGCATTACGCAAAGCCGTTATATTATTTATTCAGTTTTTTTCCCTTTTTCTTGTGAGATAATATCATTGATTAAAAGTGTCATTTTTTGGGTATTTTTGGGAACTTCTATTGATTCTAGTAGCCATTTCCAACTCTCCGAACATATAATAACTTCTTGTGGTTTATCAAAGTTTATTATCAATATAAAAATGATAATTTCCTAGCAAAGTAATACCTTGGCATAAGCACACTTTATTATTAGTATGGTTTGGGAGAGGTCTGTCTTTAGTACAAAAAAAGTAGAATAGTGCTGAGGTACTCATATTTCTATCTCGTTCTCATTCGTCCTCTGTTCTCTTTTTAATTTTCAATTGCCAAGGGAAAAAAAACTTGAGACTACGCTTTTGTTAATATTTTTTCCACCTAAAGGATTAGTATAATCAATCTATCTACACATCGGTAAACACGAAACACACCATCACATTTTTTTAACGAAAGATATTTAAATTCGAAACTCATTCCGTGAAAGGAAAAATAATTCAAGAAAAACTTTTAGGTTAGTCTAAAATTCGGATGCTAGAGGAAGGAGAAAAATAGCGAGCATAATACACACTCTCTGAATTCGAAATTGTTCATTGGGAAACCTGTCAAACCTTGCACACGTACGACGGGTACGGCTAACGGCACCGACAATAACAGGTGTGAATGGACCTTGTCAGTGACAGAAGCGCGGAGCAGTGCCAGTGCCGAGTGTACTGGCCGCCACCACTCACCACTCGCCGCTCGGTCCCTGCCCACCGCGCCCCCCCGAAAGCCGGCACGAGCCCTCCCTCCCTTCCCTTCCTCCAACCTGTTCCGATCCGCCCCGAGCCGGCCGGCCATGGCGATTAGGGCTGGCCGCTCGGCCCTCCACCTCCACCTCCTCGCGCTCGCCTTCCTCATCCTCGCCGCCTCCCCCTGCCTCCAAGGTAATGCCGCTCACGACCCGGCCCCATCTCCCCTTCTCTCTCTCTCTTCGTCGTCCCCTCCCCGCCGCGCGTCCGGGGATTCTGTCGGTCCGCGCGAGTCTCGAGAATGCCACGGCGGCGGCGCTAGATCTGTGTGATTTTTCCCTGTTCGCAGCCAGGGAACGGCGCCGATCGTGCGGTGTTGGGCTGTTACCGGAGCGGATTGGGATTTTGGGGGAGAGTTTGTGTTGATTACTTGATTTGATTATGAGGTTGGACGGATGTTGGGAGTGGGTTATAGATGCGACGGCATGTGTAATCTGTGGGTTCGCATGTCGGGAAGCAATGAATCATCAACTCGACAGATTAGCAGTTACTGAAATGGTTCCAGTTAAATGATGTTTTGCGGTTAGTGTTGAGCTGTTGATACATTCTTTTTAGAAAGGTTGGTGTTGATACCTAGGCGCAACAAATCCTCACTGTATTTTTTAGAGCAGTAGAATTCAGGAATGATGGTATTTATAAATGGTTCAAATACTATCAGGAAATATGGATTTCATTGCTAATGTTTCTGGGAAATTTTCGCTCTTGTTCGTATAACTTTCCTGTTGCAACTTGTGAGCCCTATTATAGATATCTTTTCAGTTTTCTGTGATGCAATGTGGGTGGGCCAGATGGCCTTCTGCACTTCAGACCATAGTCATGTATATCTAAGGATAAATATTTTCCCCTCTCGGATACTGTGTGGCTATCCTCTTCCTCTAGTTTCCATGCTGGCAAAACCACTATAGTTAATGGTTCTCTAAGAGTTTCATTCTTTGTTTCTATCTTTGAGTACAAAATGTCAAGCATCTGAATTGTTAACTGATCAACACTGGTGCACCATACCCCATGCCTACAGTTAGGGCAAATAAATGCTTCCATGCAGCCTAGTATAAGGTGTAGTAGACTTCGGTTTATGATGCCGCTACCTGGATTATTAGGGATCAGGGTTGTGAATTCTGATAATACCAACTTAGAACTTAGAGTGAAATATGTTGCATAGATTATACATTCTATTCCTTCAAAGCAATTGCATTGCATTTCTTCTAGTTTTAGGATTTTTGTTTGCTTATGTTGCCTGGAGTGTCGTTCAGCAACCAAGTCCACCCATCGTTTCTGTTAAGCACACGTGGTTACAAAAAAAGGGTGTGTGTGGGGGGGGGGGGGGGGGGGGGGGGGGGACAGGGACATATACTGTCTTTGAATGGCTTCGAATCACATCTAGCATTTCATTGGAAAATTTGAATTGTATTTCATATTGGAATGATATCCTTACCCATTTAGAAGATAGCATCCCTTCACCAAACTACTCAATTCATGTCCTAAAGTTTTGCTCTCTTTCAAATTTGCTGTAATAGCAATGTGATCCTGTTCTCTTGTAGCCCTATGTTACAGTTTGCTCTTATCTTCGTAGGAACCATTATTTCTGCTGGAACCATTTTGTTGTTTGATAGATATTTTGTCTTCCTCATACAATTAGAAGGAACTACACGCTTTTAGACATTTTTTTCATGATTGTAGAATATATTTTGAGGGGTCGTGCTAATGCCATTGTTTCTGCTTTGTGCAGCTCGAGTGGACCATCGCAAACAGGTTAGTAAAATATTCTCCTGCCTTGTTTCTTTCTTCTGTGTGAAAAAATGTGTGATTATAGTGGCAGCGTTCTGTGATGTTAGATATCTGACTGGAGTAGGCAACCCAACTTTGAATTGCAGAATATCTCCTTGAGTCGAAAGGGTGGGTAACTGAGTATTAATACCATATATTTCTTATACGTGACTGCATCACACTCATTTGACTTGGGAACTTTAATTGTTAATGTAGATGGCCCTCATCTCCTCCTGGGCAGATCCGAGGAAATAACACACAGGGTAATCCTCTCTCATTTTTTCCATGGCTTACAGCTGTTCTAAGATGTAATCTTGTTTCACCTTATCCTGACCATTTTGATATTTCCTAATTGTAGAAATTAAGGGGGAGAATTGGTGTAAGGAAGAAAATGGAGGTAGTGCAGCAGGATGATGAAGCATTAGTTAAACTTGAGAACGCAGGCATCGAACGCTCAAAAGCTGTTGATTCTGCTGTGCTGGGAAAATACAGCATCTGGAGACGTGAAAATGAAAATGAGAAGGCAGATTCAAGGGTTAGGCTGATGCGAGATCAAATGATCATGGCCAGAATATATTCTGTTCTTGCCAAATCGAGAGACAAGCTTGATCTCTATCAGGAGCTGCTTGCAAGGCTCAAGGAAAGTCAGCGCTCCCTTGGGGAAGCTACTGCTGATGCCGAACTTCCCAAGAGGTGGTGCCTGCTCGAACTGTTTTTGGGCCTAATTTTCAGTGATACTATTTTCTCTTTCTCTACTGATTTATCTCTTCTCTAATTTGCAGTGCTTCGGATAGAATCAAAGCAATGGGCCAAGTTTTATCAAAAGCAAGGGATCTATTGTACGATTGCAAGGAAATTACCGAGCGTTTGAGAGCAATGCTTCAGTCAGCAGATGAGCAGGTCCGGAGCTTGAAGAAGCAGAGCACCTTCCTTAGCCAGCTGGCAGCTAAGACAATCCCAAATGGCATCCATTGTCTTTCCATGCGCTTAACGATTGATTATTACCTTCTCTCTCCAGAGAAAAGAAAGTTCCCCAATAGTGAGAACTTGGAAAATCCTGATCTTTACCATTATGCTCTTTTCTCAGACAATGTTTTGGCAGCATCAGTTGTGGTCAACTCAACCATCATGAATGCAAAGGTTAGTGTAATACTATCTTCAAGCTGGAAGTGTAATCTCTTCATTGTGTGTACCATTGAATGACCAATTATATAGCACTCTTGATTTTCTTGCTATAAATTTGCAGGAGCCTGAAAAACATGTATTTCATCTTGTTACTGACAAGCTGAACTTTGGGGCCATGAACATGTGGTTTTTGCTGAATCCACCTGGGGATGCAACAATCCATGTGGAAAATGTTGATGACTTCAAATGGTTAAACTCTTCTTACTGCCCTGTTCTGAAGCAGCTTTTGTCTGCAGCCATGAGAGAATACTATTTCAAGGCTGATCGTCCGAAAACACTCTCTTCTGGCTCTTCTAATCTGAAGTATCGAAACCCAAAATATTTGTCCATGCTTAATCATTTAAGATTTTACCTCCCCCAAGTCTATCCCAAGCTGAATAAAATTCTTTTCCTGGATGATGACATAGTTGTCCAGAGGGACCTAACTGGACTCTGGGAGGTTGACCTTAATGGTAATGTAAATGGAGCGGTGGAAACATGTGGAGAGAGTTTTCATCGATTTGACAAGTACCTCAATTTTTCAAACCCAAATATTTCGGAGAATTTTGATCCTAATGCATGTGGTTGGGCTTATGGAATGAACATGTTTGATCTGGAAGAATGGAAGAAGAAAGACATTACTGGGATTTACCACAAATGGCAGAACATGGTGAGATGGAAATAAGATTTTACATTACTTGCATCCTGACACCTGCTTTTCTTTAGAATATTGCATTTTGTGTTCCTACCCGAGTCCCAACCATCTGATATGTATTCTGGTGCTTCAGACTTTTCAGATATTGTGATTTTGTTCATTTTTATGCATATATGACTATACTGTATACAGTATAGATGTAGCAAATGCTAAATAATTATCTTTTAGTATGATTGCATTGGACTCCTTAATTAATGTTCATAATACCAATTTTTGGTTATCACAACTCTCTTAATTAGTTAATTTAAACTATGTTTGATCATTAAAAAGAGTTAAGTGCTAGTTGAAACATAAATGCACTGCCTGAGATGTATTCCCTCCGTTCCAAATTATAAGTCGCTTTGACTTTTTTGGTACATTCATTTTGCTATGCATCTAGATATAATATTATGTCTAGATACATAGCAAAATGAATGAAACAAAAAAGTCAAAACGACTCATAATTTGGAACGGAGGGAGTACTTATCAGTGCATACATTTGCTAAACTCCATTTTCACACTGTTTTCTGTTCTCTTTGTACAGAACGAGAACAGGCTGCTCTGGAAATTGGGGACATTGCCGCCAGGGCTTCTAACTTTCTACAAGCTGACATACCCTCTGGACAAATCATGGCATGTGCTTGGCTTAGGGTACAATCCAACCATTGAGCGCTCAGAAATAGACAATGCTGCGGTCATCCACTACAATGGTAACATGAAGCCGTGGCTGGAAATCGCAATGACAAAGTATCGGCCTTACTGGACAAAGTATATCAATTATGAGCACCCGTACATTCATGGATGCAAGATCAGCCAATAGAAACCAGCTAAAGTATTCTTTTGTGATGAACATTGAAGTTAGACGGGACTCAAAATGAAGTCCTCTGTTAGTAGTATAACTATCACATGTTCTTTATTCGTGCTATATTAGATTTGTTAGCTATCATGTGTATGTGGTTTCGTTGCCCTTTTGTGGTGCTTTCTCCCCTAGTCGTTGTTGGTTTTTGTCTCTTTTTGTCATGAAAAGAACGATGAGCTCTATGATTCTCATCAGCTGATAAATGTAATGTCTGGATTTCTGTTGGTGACAAATTAATGATGTCATTCCAACTGTATTAAGTGTTCCATTGAACATTCATGGCAGCATTTAATGGCCAGTTGAGAGTTACGCTAGAATTATAACAAAATTTAGGACTTGTTTTTTTTTGAGTTTGAGGGCCAAAACGCCCCGGCCTTCCAATTAATAGCCAAAAGACCAAATATCAGTTTACAGCGCAGGTAAAAGCTGTTCCAAACTCACACCAGCCGGTGGAGCAAAAACACAGTTCCAGAAGGCGCTACAAAAAAAGCCAGAGGACTAGATACATCACTTAAGCGGCAACACATAGACCGCAGTCTTCGAGCTTCTTTTTTCAGACATCATCTCCCATCGAGGATGCTAGGCCTCCAAGAGACCAGGAATCCGAACTCGTAGATCTCTCATCAACAGAGAATGGACGAGCAATCATCTTGGTTAAGTTCTTCTGGGAATCTTCAGGCACCGGCTTCCGGTAGACAGAAAGTCATCTTGGGAACCTCCTTGATTTTCTTCACAATAAGCTTCAGCAAGTCCTTCTCCAAAGGGCAGAGAATCTCCCAGCTTTGTAAGAGACCAGCTATCTTGTAGAGAAGTATGTCCAGCCAATATTCTGAAAAAGAATCTCATTCCTGAGTTTCCAAAGACTCCAGAACATAGCAGAAGTAACAATATTCAAAACACAGTGCCTTTTATTACTAAGCCAGTATTGACCTATGGTAGCTAAATCAAAGCCTACTGTAGTGCCAATAGCGTCAGAAATGACCTTCCAACACTGGGCAGCAACAACACAATCAAAAAACAGATGCTGTACAGACTCAGGTTCTGAACAGAAAAGGCAACTAGGATCCTCCACCTTCCTTCTCTTAGCTAGATTATCTCTAGTCAAAACTTTATTATTAATCAATTGCCAAAGAAAAAAGTGTACTCTGGGTGGAATCTTAATATGCCAAAGAGCAGGAACATGCACTGTTTTTATGCCTCTAAAGTTAATGACTTTATAGAGGGACTGTGAAGAGTAAACCCCAGAAGAGTTAAAAAGCCAAACCATCTCATCTTCATCATCAATCAACCTGATAGTAGAAACTAGTTCTACTACATCCAACCACACTTGATAAAGCTCTTCACTAACATTTCTTCTAAAAGTGCATTTCAATTCTTGGCCATCCCAAAGCTCAGCAATGAATCTATTCTTTTCATTCAAGATCCTGTAAAGGGGCCAGAATTGGATTGCTAAGCTGGAGGGGCCAGAATTTAGGACTTGTTTTGCTCTTTTTTTAGCTACTCTCCTAGAAGCACTTAATGGGTACTATAACAAGTTTTATTTTTTTTATGAGCTACGGTAGAATTAATAACAGTACCAAAAAGACCTATGAGCATCCGTACACTCATGGTTGAGATTTTTTTTTGAAACTCTCATGGTTGAGATTGTTGACGTGAGATGATCCAATGGGTGCGGCTGGGTTTTTATATCAGCTATAATTACTTTGGATTTATGGGTCAGGCCACGAGTAAAAAATTACGGACTGAACTCGACCTACTGGACTACTGGTGGATCAGTTTTTTCCTGACAGAATCGGGTCCGGTTGGTTGGGTGGCCTACGAACATGTCTAGCCCATAGCATCCGAACACCTCGCGGCTCGGCCCCTCAGGCCTGCAGCCCCCGACGCGGCGACGCCTCCCTCCGCGGCTCCGCCTCCGCCGAGCCCGAGCGCCCCTCCGTCGCCCTTCGCCGATCCCCTCCGCTGAATCGAATAGAAGAACCGATCGCCGCTGCCGGCGAGGGGCTCGGCTCACAGCGCAGGATGGCGAGCGGCAGCAGCAACGGGGAGCCAAGCACGGCGCCGCAGGCGAACCGGTGGTACGACCTCCGCCTGGGCTCCTCCTGCCGTGACCCCTCCCCCACCGCCAAGTTCTGCACCCTCCGCTGTAAGCCCTTCGTCCCCTTGCTTCCACTCCCTTTTTTTTTTCGGTACCCAACCTGCGGCGCCGTAGCCTGGGATCCGCATCAGCGAATTGACGAGCGCTAGTTAGCACCATAGGAGGTAGGGTTCTTTGACTCAGGGCTCAGGATTCCTGGCGTTTAATTATTTTGCACCATGGGAAAACCTGAATTTCATTACTCCACAGCAACGAAATTACACGAAATATCTGACTGATTTTACCAACAGCTACTGATAGATACTAAAAGATTAGCTCACAAGCTAAAACTGAAGTACTGAACGGAGAAAGTTCCATGTTAAAAAGCAGTTTGACATAAAAAATTGTGCAATAATGGTCTAATTCTACAATATCTGGCCATAGTACACACAAACCTACCATGACATTAATACATTATTATGTACACTAAATCTAAAACTGGGTCATTTTTTTTGAAGACCTATTGACTACTGTTATCAGATGATCATAATTTGGAGATACATCATATGCCTCTTTATCAACCAAACAAAGATACATTCAACAAAACAAAACCAATCAACAGCTGGTACCTCAGAACAGGTGCTAAAGCTCTGAAGGATGCGGCGCTACACTTCCATCAACAGGAGCATGGAGAGGGAAGACAGGAAACACATGGAGTCACCTTGAACTAGGATGGAGCTTATGTTTTGTGCTGGTCATCTTTGAGGGCAGCCTGCGTGTTGTGATCTGTCCGCTAAAACTGTACTTGTCCATCAGAAGTTTCACCATTCATAGACTGTGTGGCTTTTGCTTGGGGTGTTATGTAGGAGTGCACTGTATTGGTTGGATGTTAGCAGTTTGGTTTGTCACACATGTTAAGCCCTCAGTGCTTAAATGTACTTGGTATTGGAGAACAATATAAGCGTTGAACGTTGGGCGCTACAGCTACAAGTGACTGAAAAGGGCCATCTATTTTTAGTGCAATTCGGCCTCCTTTGAATGATGGTCCTTAATTTTTGTGCAAGCTTTGCTGTTGGTGGGATATTGTGTTCCTTATCAACATCTCACCAATCTTCTCATGTTCTTCATTGTGTTCATGTTCCTCATAACTGTCTTAACTTGTTTATCTCTGAGTTACTCTTACCTTGTTTGCCTTTTGCTGCTATCTCTACAGTTGGTTGTATTTCATCATTAGTGTCACCCAACATTACATCACATTGTATAGCGACTGCTAAAACAATATTATCTAAACTCTAAAGACTAGTACTATGAAAGGATTGGTAGAAGTACCTTCTTGGTTCAGTGCAGCCCATCTGTTCTCAGCTCTTAGAGGAACATGAGTCCCATTCCCTGGAGACCTTGTACTTGCTGTAGACATCACTGGAGGTGGGGCATCTCTTCAGCGTGCTTGTTTTAATCTTCTTAATCATCTCATTTTTCTTATGGACATTATCAAAACTCAAGAGAAAAATCCACTTGCCTTTCTGCACCCTCTCCATCATCACATACAAGTTTCCTCAAAATCTGGCATCTTCACCCCAGAACTCAAAGGACTCCAGCCCCTTTCAGTCTCTAGTATAGCTGTCATCCCCTCCATGGTATCCTCTGCAGTAAGTTGGTTTCTTGCCTGGGTTGAAACCTCAAGGTTGCTTGATCATATTCCCTTGTCATGTTTATCAGTGTAGCAACCATTGTTTAATGCCTGTGTGGCATTATAAGCCACTTGGATCTTCTTTCTGGTCATTAATTAGTTGTTAAGAAAAATATGGCTACCTTTGTTATTCATTGACATGGATGGTAGGCTGAGATCTCTACTGCAAAGGTTATCAGTGGCATAATACTAGGGATCAACCAAAGCTAGTTTTCTGATATCATCTGGCAGCCTTCCTTTGTATTATTGTGACATGTAAAAGCTCATGCCATTTCTCTATGTTGTAAATAAAAAAAATCAGGGTCAACAATAAATAGTTTTTATTACCTTTGATGTGACTGATGAATTTGAGCCAGCATCAATTGACAAGACTCAAGCTGGGTCTCTGCAGAGTACCAAAGATAACCGGGTTACTGTGGAATTCCATAATAATCAGCCTGGCAAGCCAAAGGTGACATTTGAGGGAAGCCAAGAAGAGTACAAGGATAATGGGCGTATCCAGTGCAGAGAGCTCCCGCTCTGTGCGGGGTCTGGGGAAGGGTGTCAGTGGCAAGCCTTATCCTCGCCTGTGCAATGCGAGGAGACTGCGACTCGAACCCGGGACCTTGGCGTCTTATTTTTTGATGGTGAGACCTTTCGCCTAGAGAGGTTGCATAGGGCTGTCAAGGGGTTAAGGCATGTCCGAGTTCCAGGAGAGTCTGCAGCAGTTAATTTGGCAGCTACAACTACTGGAATGGGTGCAGAATCACAGTCTACTCCATCACCTAAAGTCATCAAGTCACAGACCATGAGCAAACCTGCTGTTCACTCAGTTCCAGTGAGTTCTGTTACTACTTTTATGCCTTAGATAATGGTTTGTCATTGTTCTTTCTTTTGTTAGATTTTCACTTTTAAATTGAGTAACATGATAACACCTGCGATATATATAGTATTAAGTAATAAAGTTTGAAGATTTCTAACAGGTCCCATTTCTAGAAATACATGATATCTTTCTCCAGATATTTTGTGTTCATTGATTTATCATCTGATGTGCTTTGAAGTCATCAACAATCTTCCTTGATAGTATCTTAACCTAGACAGATTATGGGAAATTTAGGATGTTATAAAATATGCTACCCTATTACTTCTCTTAAGAAAGGTGAAATGTTTTACTAGGAATTGTGATCCACAAGTTATATGTTTGCGATTGCATAC